TTTAGCCAGTGGCATTTAAACAACGTTTTACCCTACAAAATGAATGACTTGTCAAAGAAATAAATGCTTGCTCTAAATGTCCTTTTCGTTTTGTCCTCTACAGGATTGGGCTACGCCCTGACCTGGACCCCTACTGTCACCATGCTGGGCTGGTACTTTGAAAAGCGACGGCCAGTGGCCAATGCTCTGGCCAGCGCAGGAGAGTGCATCCTCACTTTCATCCTGACCCCATCCTTCCAGTTCATGGTGGATCAGTATTCCTGGAGGGGAGCGATGCTGATCCTGGGAGCTCTGCAGCTCAACTTGTGTTTGTGCGGAGCTCTTCTAAGACCACTCAACAGACACGTTCCTTCTAAAGAGCTGGTAGAGAAGGACAATCATGAGCTGGAGCTGTTATCGCAAACTCACACAGACTTTAAAAGTTCAAAAAACAGTTCAGACTCGAAAATATCAGATCCACTGAAGGTCAAAATCATAAATTACATGGACTACACGCTTATTGTTAATGCTCGCTTCATGGTCTACTCAATGTTTGGTGTCTTTGCTGCTCTTGGCTTCTTCGCTCCAGCTCTCTTTCTGGTACCGTACGCCCGCAGTCAAGGAGTGGAAGAGTACCAGGCAGCCGCTCTCATGTCCATCTCTGCGGTGCTGGACCTCTTAGGACGGGTGCTCTTCGGGTGGGTGGCTAATCTGCGGCTGGTAAAGACAGTCCATCAGCTGACTGTCACAGTGATTCTGTTGGGCAGTGTTATGTTGCTCTGCCCACTAGCTACCACTTTCACCCAGCTAGCGCTGTTCAGTGCGGGTTACGGACTGGTGTTCGGCGCGACCGTGGCCATTCACATCACGGTACTGGCGGAAGTGGTGGGGGTGGAGAGGCTAGGGAGTGCTCTGGGTTTCTTCATGCTCATCCGCAGCAGTGGTGGCCTTCTTGGACCACCTTTGGCAGGTGAGATGTTTAAAAGTAATTTGATCAATAGTGACTATCCTGAGCAGAGACGTATTATTTAAAAAAGTTTTAGTTTGTTTTTAAATAATTTAAATATTTATAAACCGTATATATATATATATATATATATATATATATATTTGTTAGATATATTTTTGTAAGACACATAATAAAATATTTAGAACAAAAATATAATAGTATTTTTTATATTGTATAATGTTATTTTATTATATTATATCTGTGATTTTTGTATTAGTTGATTGTGTCATTTAAATAAATCACAGATATAATGTAATATATAATTAAAATTATGTGTAATTAATTGTTATTAATAATTATTATAATTAATTAGTATTGTTATATTATATTTGTGATTTATAAACAAACAATTAACAAACATATATATATATATATATATAATATTTTTTTTGTTTTAAATATATATATATATATATATACAGTATATATATATATATATATATATATATACTGTATATATATATATATATATATATTTAAAACAAAAAAAATATTATTATATTATATTAGTGATAAATTTGGGATTTATTATTTTTCTTTATTTTTATGTTGAGGTTATTATGACATCTACCTACAAATGACTTTCTGAAGTTACTCTATAGTCTAACATTGTGCAAACACAAGATGTCCTGTTTTATTGTTCAGAAAGCACTTTATTAGTCATCCTAATGCATTCCCTTCCTCATCATATTTCTTTGATGAGGTTTCTCATTAATGCCTGACAGGATTCAGTTTACAGTAATACTGTGTTATCTTCTCATAAAACATCGCCTTTCAAAGAAATGCACTCGGCTATTGTGTTAATTTCATGGATTATTGGTCACTACATAAATTGTTTTTCCCCTTTCAATAGCAAGCCACGCTTTGACTGCCCTGACCAAATCTTAAACCGTTCATTTGGTTTCATTGGCTGTAATTTTTCTGTGCCCGCTGCTCAGAACACATCACAAACGGTAGTGCAACAATACATCAGCGGAGCTACAAAAGTGGCCAAAGAATCAACAAACAATCTACCAGCCAAGAACAACAATACATATAATATAGCTGTAATTGATTACCAGATGATAAGCTCTGATAGGGCAGCTTCAAATAGATGGTATTGTAATGTGGAGATGATGACATTTTGCCCTTACCTAACAGTTTTTCACTTCAGAACATCTGCCAAAACATGGCGTAAGTTGGAAGAGTTCTCCCCCGTACAGCCAAAAACCTCTCCCACACTAAATCATCCAGAAAAGCCTCATCTGTCCATTTAGAGGGATCAACTGCCAAAACCATGTCCATATCTGTATACTGGAAGACTAATGTACCTTATATGAATCTCTTGTGTTTTTAGTCCATTAAATAGAGCACAGACTAATGGTTGGGAGGAGAGAAACGCTTTTTTTTTAGGCACTACAGGTTAGAAGTGTAGTCTGCTGCTCCATAACCGGCAGTGTAATTACACCATAAATTAGCTCTGCTGCATTTATTCTCAGTGACTTTTAATCGGGTTGGAAAACTCCTTCACTGTGGCATTATAAAAGATGACTCAAATAATCACTGCATCACTAATTTCATAGGGGCTCTGTTCCTTGGTGCTTTAATTGATTGATCGTTTAAAATAATGTACAGGGAAATGTGCATTCAGAAAGCAGGTTGGGCATAAAAACGGGAGGTGGGATGATGAACGAACAACTGCAGGCTAATTAGTGGTGCTTAGGCAAGCTATTGTGCCCAAGCAACCACCCATACCCTAGAAACCGCATACAAATGCCCTTGCAACCACCTACAACAGCCTAGAATTGGTCGTGGTGGGTTTTCTATGGGCAAGTATGTGTTTTAATTGCAAGCTAATAGCTTTGATTTCAGTATTAAAGGAAAACAAAATGTGATTTGACATTATTATAAGATATCACTTTTCTTTGATAAAAGGAAGCCGTTAGAGATAACATGTTTGACATTTGAGATTTTTTATACATATAATATATGTATATTATTTTTTTATTAAGATTTTATTAAGAGTTCACATGCAGTCAAAAACAATATCTACTGCAATTTGTCGTGTATAACAATTTTAAGAATGTATTTTGGTCTGTCTGCCTAAAATTACCCAAATTAAAATTTGTGTTTGGTCGGGATGTCAAATACGTTCCACAGTTTCAGAAAACATTTTCATTGATCTGCCTTTAATGGCAAGAAAGGGCAAATACAGGATGGATGGATGACAGTTCTGAGTGCACTTTTTCCTCATTATTAAAAAAGAAAACATTAGATATTACATATCTAGATTTTATTTTTTATATTTTTTATATTTCATTTTCCTTTTTTTGTTATTTTTAAGCTTTATTTTGTGCATTCATTTACTCATACGAAGTGAAACTAATGACAATGGTGAAATTATTTCTCCTACTGTTTCTACAGGAATCTTCATAGACAAAATGAGTGACTATGGTGCTGGTTTCCTGATGGCAGGCGTGGCTCTTCTCGTCTCTGCCTTGTTTTTGCTTGTATTACATCAGATGAACAAAAAATGGATGGAAAAGGGAAAAGATATCAACTTGGACAACGGGAAAGGATGCGAGGATCAGATTTGAAAACAAGAATTCCAACTTTGGAAGAAGTTAGTAAGAGGAGGCTCTAGTGGAATGTGCATTTAGGGTCACATATTTATTTTGCAGTATCATGTTACTACTGTGGATTTTAGGGATCACCACACATGTCGCGGTTAAGCAGAGATTATGATTAGAGATCTGTAAGTGATGGTGTAAACTGATCTGATCTGTCCATTCTATGAAGGTGTCACGTTTTGGTTTATTCATGTCATGTTCCATGTCTGTCATGTGATTCCCTGTTTGTCATGTGATTCTGCCATGTGTCTTGTCATTGGTTAATCGTCTGTTCATTGTTCACAGGTGTCCCTTGTCATTAGTCTGTGTATTTATGCCCTCATGTTTGCCATGTGTCTTGGTCAAGTTGTTTCACTGTATCCTCTGTTGTGTAAGTTCATGTTCATGTCCTTGTTTTTTAGTTTTTCAGTTTTTCATGCCACGCCATGCCATGCCATGTTTTTGTTTCATGTTTAATCTAAAAAAATCAAGCCTGAGTCTCTTTACGTTATGCCTGCCAAGTCTGAGTCTCTTCACGTCATGCCTGCCAAGCCTGAGTCTCTTCACGTCATGCCTGCCAAGTCTGAGTCTCTTCACGTCATGCCTGCCAAGTCTGAGTCTCTTCACGTCATGCCTGCCAAGTCTGAGTCTCTTCACGTCATGCCTGCCAAGTCTGAGTCTCTTCACGTCATGACTGCCGAGTCTGAGTCTCTTCACGTCATCCCTGCCAAGTCTGAGTCTCTTCACGTCATGACTGCCAAGCCTGAGTCTCTTCACGTCATGCCTGCCAAGTCTGAGTCTCTTCACGTCATGCCTGCCAAGTCTGAGTCTCTTCACGTCATGCCTGCCAAGTCTGAGTCTCTTCACGTCATGACTGCCAAGCCTGAGTCTCTTCACGTCATGCCTGCCAAGCCTGAGTCTCTTCACGTCATGCCTGCCAAGCCTGAGTCTCTTCACATCATGACTGCCAAGTCTGAGTCTCTTCACGTCATGCCTGCCAAGTCTGAGTCTCTTCACGTCATGCCTGCCAAGTCTGAGTCTCTTCACGTCATGCCTGCCAAGTCTGAGTCTCTTCACGTCATGCCTGCCAAGTCTGAGTCTCTTCACGTCATGCCTGCCAAGTCTGAGTCTCTTCACGTCATGCCTGCCAAGTCTGAGTCTCTTCACGTCATGCCTGCCAAGTCTGAGTCTCTTCACGTCATGCCTGCCAAGTCTGAGTCTCTTCACGTCATGCCTGCCAAGTCTGAGTCTCTTCACATCATGACTGCCAAGTCTGAGTCTCTTCACGTCATGCCTGCCAAGTCTGAGTCTCTTCACGTCATGCCTGCCAAGTCTGAGTCTCTTCACGTCATGACTGCCAAGTCTGAGTCTCTTCACGTCATGCCTACCAAGTCTGAGTCTCTTCACGTCATGACTGCCAAGTCTGAGTCTCTTCACGTCATGACTGCCAAGTCTGAGTCTCTTCACGTCATGACTGCCAAGTCTGAGGGCCAGATGTACTAACACTTTTTCGCCCACTTCAGGCGCATTTGTTTCGCAAATTGCGCATAAAACCATGGCGAGGTATGTACGAACGGGACGCACCGAGATGAAAGCGCAGACTGTCTGTCACGGGAACTGAAAATGGCAAAATGCGCTTTTAGTGTCATGCATATGCATTCATGGGATGGTCAAGGGGAAAGTGGGAGTGTCACATAAAGAGATGGGAGGAGAAGCGTAAACTGCACCTAAGTATTCCGCGTTATGTACAGAAAAAGCCGGTGAAAGCGCGCCTCTATTTTGCGCTGAAAATTCTCCGCCTCTTAAAAGCAGGTGTAACTTAGGAAGCGGGTTTCCTGGCATATGCCTCCTGGTGAAATGGCAGCAGTAATCCGAGCAAGACGAAGACATAGGCTAAGGAGACAAGCTAAAAAGATTTTTGCCACAAGAATCACACTTTTTCAGTTGGGTGAAAATGAAATCATTAAGCGTTACAGATTAAGCAACTACGCAATATTACAGTTACTGGAAGAAATCAAAGATGACATTGAATCTCCGACTCAGCGTTCATATTCCATTCCAGCAGTTGTTAAACTCCTCGCTACATTACAATTATTGGTATCAGGATCATTTCAAACAGTTAGGGCATCAGCAGTGAGAGGAGGAGATCCATTCAATTGCGCGTTTAAATACGCACAATTTACGGTATAGTGGGTGGGGACAGGCGCTGATTACCTGATAAACTGCAGGTTTGGTACATAACACGCACATTGCGGTTTCACATCAAGCGCTTTCTGCGTCTTGGCCATGGCGCTACTAACGCTGCGTTCGCAAATGTACGTACATCTGGCCCTGAGTCTCTTCACGTCATGCCTGCCAAGCCTGAACCTCTTCACTTCACGCCTGCTTAGCCTGAGTCACTTCACGTCATCCCTGCCAAGCCTGAGTCACTTCACGTAATCCCTGCCAAGCTTGAGTCAACTTCACGTCATGTCTGCCAAGTCTGAGTCTCTTCATGTCATGTCTACTAAGTCTGTATCTCTTTACGTCATGCCTGCCAAGTCTGAGCTTCCTCAAGTCATGCCTGTCCAGCCAGAGCTTCTTCACTTCAGGCCTGCCGAGCCTGAGCTTCTTCACTTCAGTCCTGCCGAGCCTGAGCTTCCTCACGTCATGCCTGCCCAGCCAGAAACTGTTCATGCCATGTCTGCGATGCCTGTGTCTTCGGTCGAGTTGGCCGCCACCACGCCAGAGTCTCTTCCCAAGATGGCCATCACCATGCCGCCTGAGCCTTCAGGGGGCAGTAGGTCCATTGATAGGACCATGGAGGCCGCGCCGCCATGGCCCCTTGAACTGTCAGTTCCGCCCTGGCCCCTTGAACTGTCAGGTCCGCCCTGGCCCCTTGAACTGTCAGGTCCGTCCTGGCTTCCTGCTCTGCTGGCGCCGTCCTGGCTTCCTGCACTGCCGGCTCCACACGCTCCATGGCCCAGGTCCGCCCACGCCATGTCACGGCCCAGGTCCGCCCACGCCTTGCCACGTCCTATGTCCTGTCCCCCTGCACGGGCCTGGCCCACCATCCCTCCCCCAAGACCACCTCCGCTCCACCACCCTCCTTGAATGTTTTTTCTTTTGTTTGGGTGTCTGGAGCCACCCTTAGAGGGGGGGATCTGTCATGTTTTGGTTTGTTCCTGTCATGTTCCATGTCTGTCATGTGATTCCCTGTTTGTCATGTGATCCTGCCATGTGTCTTGTCATTGGTTAATCGTCTGTTCATTGTTCACAGGTGTCCCTTGTCATTAGTCTGTGTATTTATGCCCTCATGTTTGCCATGTGTCTTGGTCAAGTTTTGTTTCACTGTAACCTCTGTTGTGTAAGTTCATGTCCTTGTTTTTGAATTTTTCATGCCACGCCATGTTTTTGTTTCATGTTTAATCTTGTTTGTAATAAACTGCACTTTGGTTTCATCTACACTTGCCTCCAGTGGATCCCTTACAGAAGGAAAAGTGAACAGACCTTTCTCACCTAAGTGAAACATTCTGGGAAGTCTTCTCATGTAGTCCTATAATGATGCCATTGCAAGCAATATTTCATCAGATCTATTGCTCCAGTAAGTCTGGAAAATGGACACTCCCTTAATGGACTAATGGAAGCTGACTCATGGTTTAGCTACAGCCAAAGATGATCACAGTCAAGAACAATATCTGCAATTTCTTGTGTATGATAATATGAAAAATGTATTTTGGTCTGTCAGCTTAAAATTGCACAAGTTAAAATTTGGGTTTGAAACGTGGATTTTATGTAGGGTTAAAGTTCCATCCATCGGTCTGGATGTCAAATACGTCCCACAGTTTTGCAGAACCTTCACCAAGTTCAACATGCTCCTAGATCATCATCTTTGTTTATCCTGGAACAACATTCCAATAAACCAATCAGATTTGAGGGACAAGTTTACAGTTTATGTCAAGTTTAGGCTTACAACCAGGGTTAGGTGCTTCTATGTCAGTGTTATTCACCTATCATTTCCCATTGATTTTAGGGATAATTTATGGGGTTTAGGGGTATATAGGATAGATTATGAGTGGGTTAGGATTACATTTTCAGGCAGGAATTTTGTTTCAGGATCAACAATATATGCTGACCCAGGAGCCCGTCTAACCCGGCAAAATCAGGACGTGCCACAGTTTCAGAAAACATTCTCATTGATCGCCCTCTAACAGTGAAAAGGGGAAATGCAGGATGGACAGTGAAACTGTTTCAAATACATGTTTTCCTCATTAGATTTTTTTAAACCATTATAAATAATGCATTTAAAAAATGCTTAGACTCACATGGAATTAAAAACGGCCTATTAAAAACCGTATAATAGAGCGTAAAACAGTATATTAAAGTGTGTTTTGTTTTGCAAAAGCTTTAAAATACCTTAATCTTGAATCTATATGGGATAAACATGAAGGCATAGACTTAAACAGAGGCACATCCTGCTGAAGAAAACCACACGATAGACAGTACTGTCTAGATCTTTTCTGTTTATACAGTGTGATGAAACGGCAACCGTTCAAAGCTAAGCCATCTTTACAACATATCAAAGCATGTTTTTCTTCACAATAATCTTTTCCTAACATCTGCACTTTGATGTGTTTTCTGCATGCTGGTCTGTGTGTAGCACAAATAAGTGGCTTTCCAAATTGGATTTTTTTTTTTTTTTTTTTTATAACAGAAATAAATTTCAATATGCTTGTTACCATGAATCTGAGAAAGCAAACATTACGCTCTAGACAAAATGAGCCTTCAACGGCATACAAATGAAAACGTTCTTGACGTTTTAGTCTGTTTACATGCACAGGCTCACTGTTTGCACTTTCCCTTACATTCAATTATTTTGTTATATTTTATACTCCCTCATTTCCCTTTAATTTAACACATGAGTACCGACAGTAAACCAAATACATGCACACAAAGAAGGAGGCCACTCAATGGACTTAATTTTAGTTTTAATAATGAAAGTATAAGCTGTGTATTCTGATATTCACAAAATAAGTTCATATTTTTATCAGAATCGTCAAATTGAGTAATATAGTATTTTGAATGAGCTTTTATTTTTATATTTTTAGTAATTTTGTTGTTGTACTTTTGTCGGTTGTTTTTAGTTTTATTTTGGATGTTTTTCATATAATATTTATATTTTATTTTGGCTTTATTTCAAATACCAAACAATGTTTTTTTATATATATTTTGAATTAACAAATAAAAACACTGATCTTATCATTTTATCTTTCTTTATAATATTGACATTTCACTGTAAATTCACTGTGGGTTAATTACTTCAAGTAGAAATAGGCCGTTATGCTGTATATAGTTTTTGACACTTGATCCCATCAGTAAATCCCAACGAGAAGAAGAAATAATGTTGTAATGAGAGAAAATAGAACTCTTGCTGTTTTCCTGTGACCTGAGCAATCCTTTCTTTTAAACAAAGTTGAGGCGATGAGTCCTTTGAAGTCTGTAATTGGAAACAGTTGATGGAGTAAAGTGGAATAACAGATCCCAGATCCGCTCCTCCAGACATATCTCCCTCCCGTAAATCCCGGCCTCTTCACTTTGACCTTCATATAGTCCAGGTTAGGCAGGAACCCCAGAAACAGCCGTTTAGAATGAAGCATGGGTGACCTTGCTTGATGGAAAAGTTCAGTGAAGCCTCAGGATGAAAACTGAATTAGACTGAATCTAATATCAAAGACAAAAGGGAAATACCTGAGAAATTGGACAGAAATTACAACAAATTGGAATTCTGCCTGTCTCTGAACAGAAAATTCAAAAGTGTCAGAATAGATTAATGTGACCAACTCTTTGAAAAGTAAGAAACTAGAATAGGCAAAGGCTATGTACAGACTGAGCAAACACAACCTTTCAAACACAGACAGACCTGGGCTGCATTTCCCAAAAGCATCATAAGCCAGTGTTTTTTAAGATCTACTTAGGCTTACAATAATTTTATGAAATTATACTGCACTAAAAATGGATAGGCTGTGCTCTTTCTGCACACACTATGAGGTAGATTGATTTTTTTTACTTGTATACTGTACCTCATTAGATCAAATATTTATGGAAGCTTTTTTCCACCACGGAATAAAATATTAAAAACGTATCTCATAATTCTGCCCCCACATTTTTGGGTGAACTATCCTTTAAGTGTGACTTTTGAGGCCACTGTGTCTAATTTTTATTCTTATGCTTTATCAATCTTCAGCGTTTGAAGTTCAAGTTTCAAGTTATATTATATGTATTATAAATGAAACAGTTGTACTATGCAGCAGTGAGGCCAGACAAAGGGAGACATACTGCTTATAGAGAGAGTGATCTTCAAAGCAGCAAGAAATCAAAGTTGGAGAAGAAAAATCGGGAAAGCTTGAGGGATTATACAGGATAATACCCAAGAGGTATAGTTCTTTCCTTTACCTCTCTCTTACTCTCTCTCTTTCTCTCATTTTCTGTCATTCCCGGTTGTTGGGTGGGCCTATAATGGGGACAAATGAGAGGGGCTGTCCTAAACAGGAGTGAAAGGAACAGCTGTAGAAAGTTTGTTATGAACTCCTATGAGAACCAGTAGACTGATGGAGGTCCTAATGGAGATATGAAAGGAAATACAGTTTTTGAAATATTTGAGAAAATATTAAATTAGGATGAGAGTTGTGTAACACTCAAGTGCCTGACAACACACACACTCAAGCCCACATCACTTACATGCACCTACATGCAAGAATCAAAGGTATTTGTTTCAAAGGGAGAGACGTAAAAAGAGAGAAAAAGAAACATAGCATTTATTCTTCCAGATTTATCTTCTTTCTTTCCGGAGCACAGTGAGGTCAGGCCCCTGTTTTCTTTCATCCACACGTAAATCATGAAAGCTTATGTCCACAATACACCAATAATGTTGTACAGATAGTAAAAGGGCAACAACCCCACAAACATTGGAAGTTTGCAGTACGAGCAACATTAAAGCACAGAAAAATGCTTATAGGTTTTTCTCACACAACAGCTTGAATGTTACTGTCACGTGGTTCTTGTTTACTCGACAGATGCTGAGAAAGATGTTGGGCAGTTCAGATCTATAGTCTATGATCATTATAAACATGCTTTGTTCCCGGACTGATCTTTGCTGATCGTAGGTTGGAAACTGATTGTATCAAAGCTTTACAAAAATCATAGATCAAAAGAATCAGAACAGCTGCGCATCAGATGACACATGTGCATTCACTTCAATTATTGTAGTCATGCCATGCAGGTGTTTTTATGCAGATCTTTTTTCACGAGTCATTCTTTCTTAGGTTTGTTATTCATTAATCCTTCAAGTTTAAATGAATTTGAGTGTAAAAGGACTGGACCATAGCAAATAATTGTGAATGGAACATTTAAAAACATGTTTTTGACATACTGTTAATTACATCAGATAACTTTTTAATAATGTTTTGGGGGAAAAAATTAATTCGTTCATTAATTAATTTAACAGAAGCAAGACTAATTTTCATCTATTGTCCCTTGCCAGTTCGTTAAAAAGGCGATCTAAAATGAAAGTAAGGCAAGTTATCACAAATTTCACATATAAAATAAAGCATTCAGACCAATATTCAAACCAACAGGTTACACAGACAAACATGTAGAAAAAAATATATCATAGTAACATACACATACATACAAACAACAATTAATAACACACAAACATAAGCAAACAACAAAAATTTACTCAACATGCAGCTAATATTGTTCTAGTGATTTTTACATTAATGTATTTACATTAATGAAAGTTCAAATAAAGTAATTTAATTGCTTTATAGCTTAAAGGGTAAGTTCACCCAAAAATGAAAATTCTGTCAGTAATTACTCACCCTCATGTTGTTCCAACCCCGTAAGACTTTCGTTCATCTTCGGAACACAAATTAAGATATTTTTGATTAAATCTGAGAGCTGGATCACTCCTCCATAGGCTTCTTAACGGATCGAAACTGACCGGCCCAAAAGTTATGAAAGACATCGTTAAAATAGTCCGAGTGACTACAGTGGCTCAACCCTAAGTTTATCAAGCGACGAGAATACTTTTTGTGCGCAAAAACAAACAAAAATAACGACTTTATTCAACTAATCATTTCCTTCTCTGTGGGCCGTGATATTTCACGTAGTGAAACTACGCAAAGCTTCTAGGTTGTACGTCACGCATCACACACGTGACCAGCGTCGGCCAATAGTGAGCCTGCGTGTGTCGTGCAACCTAGAAGCTTTGCGCAATATCACTACGTGAAATATCACGGCCGTACAGAGAAGGAAATGATTAGTTGAATAAAGTCGTTATTTTTGTTTGTTTTTTTGCGCACAAAAAGTATTCTCGTCGCTTGATAAACTTAAGGTTGAGCCACTGTAGTCACTCGGACTATTTTAACGATGTCTTTCATAACTTTTGGGCCGGCCAGTTTCGATCCCTTATAAGCCTAGAGGAGTGATCCAGCTCTCAGATTTAATCAAAAATGTCTTAATTTGTGTTCCGAAGATGAACGAAAGTCTTACGGGGTTGGAACAACATGAGGGTGAGTAATTACTGACAGAATTTTCATTTTTGGGTGAACTAACCCTTCAATAACTAATTTGTGTATGGAAAAAAAATATCATAAAAGGACTGGGAAAAAAACTGCACATGAAACAATGTACATTGTGTAAAGTTCATAAATACTTGACTAGACTAATAACACTTGTAATAACTTCTTAATAACAACTTGTACTAAAGCTGTTGCATCCTTTAATATAGCAACATACTCCTAAAATTTAAGACATGGCATAAACAAACATGTTGTGATGTTGTTTTGTTGTTGTTGTTTTTTAACAGATTACCTGGGATATAATGACATTTCTGGAATCATTTTCTTTCACTTTGGGAATATTCTGTAAGCATATAAACTCTAAAATAATCACAAGTGTCTGCATCCAGTAAAAGCAGTGGTGTTAAAGGTTAAAATGGACTTGGCATTCCTTCGTTTTTTTCCCCCAGCCCCTGTAGCAGGGTTACACACGCGTACAGAGAGTGTGGGGCAGGAGGCGGGATGTCCTACTTTAGGAGGGAACGTGAAATTTCAAAGACTAGTGGCCCCTTCCTCAGAATTCACCACATGCTTTCATTCTTTCTGCTTGCTTGCCCATTCTGTTTTATCCCATGGAAATGAACACAGACACACTCACAGATCACATGGGAATATTCCAGTACAATGGAATAACATTTCCTTAAGACAAAAGCAAATATGTGAAGGATGAGATTTTCTACTGTACTTTTGCTTTGTTGAATATTTCGCAAAAGTATTTTACAGAATCAGACACAAGTTTGTGTATCAGGCCTGAAAACTGTCATAAAATGACATTAATAAAGATGCCTAGGAAAAGTCTAAGAAAAAACTCTTCTCAACTTTGTCTTTTCGCCCTCCCTCTCTTTCTCGTTCCCTCCCTCTCTCAGAGTAACCATGTGCTTTTCGTGTCAGTAGACACATTTAACCCTCTCCTCAGAATAACCGCTGCACAGACAGCTGTCTCTTTTTCTCTTTCTTTTTCTTTGACTTCTCCTTCACTCACTCCTGCTGTGGTGTTCTTTGTGTTCATTCTCTGCAGGTTTTTTTTCCCTCTTCATGGCACTAGAAACTCTTCTGTAGAAGAATTTATGTAACCACAACAGGACAGAGACCTTAAACACATAAATGCTGGAGGAAGTCACAACATAAACACGTCCAAAAAGAAAGTTTTGAACGGCGGGAGCAACTTCAAAAGTCTGAGGATTACTGGAAGAGAAGAAGAAGGAGCGTCAGGCTGAAAGAGCGGGACCATGCAGATCCGGACTGGGTTTGTGCCGGTTGTGCCGATCTTTTTCTTTCTGCTGTTGGCATCTGATTCAGGGAATGCACGCATGATCAGGAAGAGGGGACTCATCCAAAAGGTGAGGTGTGTGTGTGTGTGTGTGTGCACGCACTTGAGTTTGACACTAGATGCCTCTTATGCTCATCAAGGCTGCATTTATTTGATAAGCGGTCGCTTTTTGAAATTAAAATCGATTCCTGTGAGTGAAAGAAATATACACTAATGTACACTAAGAATTTTTTTTATGTTTTTGAAAGAAGTCTGTTATTAAGAATTGTTTTTATGTTTTTGAAAGAAGTCAGAAGAAGTTATTCTGAACAAGGCTGCATTTATTTGATCAAAATACAGAAAAAAATGTAATATTGTGAAATAAAATTAAAATAACTGTTTTCTACTTTAAAATGTAATTTATTCATGTGATGGCAAAGCTGAATTTTCAGCATCATTACTCCAGTCTTCAGAGTCACATGATCCTTCAGAAATCATTCTAATATGCTGATTTAGTGCTCAAGAAACATTTCTTATAAATATCAATGTTGAAAACAGCTGTGCTGCTTATTTTTGTTGAAATTGTGATATATTTTGCTTCAGAATCTTTGATGAATAGAAAGTTCAAAATAACAGCATTTATTTGAAATAGAAACCATTTGTAACATTATAAATGTCTTTTACTTTTGATCAATTTAATGCGTCTTAAAAAAGTATAAACATAAAACTTGCCACAAACATTTGAATGGTAGTGTATACTGGTACTGAATGACATTATTCACTCATCATATTTATTATGATATTTGCATGGCACTATGGTAAACATAAGAAGAAAACATGTTATTACTATTACAAAAAGTACATTACAAAGACAATACAAAAGTGTAACTTTGTTGGTACTTTTTGATGGAATGGAAAATATTTTAGTGCTGAGCAGGAAAAAGATCCATTTATAATTATACTATCTTTTATATTTTTATTTATCTATATATTTTTTCTTATTAATTCAAATACATGTGCAAATATGCAATCTAATGTGATAACTGCATGTTTGCCATGTTCATGTACCATAGTATTTTGATACCAAGGTAGTGATTGGTCCCGACCATAATAATATACAATGGTATTTTCATGGTACCATGCCATACCATATTCATGTATATTCACATGTTGATCATGGAATTACCGCATGTCACTTGTCTTTTTTATTATTTTGTAATGGTTTATGGTTTATATTTTGAGCTAGGTAGAAAAATATAACTATTAACCTACCTATATTTTCAAGACTTCATTTTCAGATTACCATCGAGTCGACTTCAAATAAGTAGTAGTATGCAAATTTGCACTGTATGACATCTTATGTATACGTTTGATCGGGAAAATGGTAATACCATGGTACTCTTTGGCCCTTTGTTGTTAGTGTAGGCAGTGTTGGCGGAGGTTGGCATCTGTGAGACTTTTAGGTCCATACAGTGGGGGGGAGTAATGAATACACTGTGTCTCTGTGACTCCAGTGGAGTTGCTTACGCTCGAATACTCAGACAGTATATGTATTGTGTGTGCAACAGAAGCACATAAGGACTTTAGGCATCAGGATTCTGGCCCTCTGCTCATTAGTCCCGATAAGTGTAGGTTTGAATGATAACAATTAACAAGGGATGGCAAGATGGAATTTGCATCGGATGGATATCCCTTCCCAACTTACTGCATTCCAGAGTTATTCTCATTATGGCTCCTCTGTGGAATTCAAGATTGACAAGATTTACAAACGGATCCGTCCACATGCCACAGGAAATGGAGCGTGCCCAAAGTAACCCTCTAGTAATTCATATTTGTATCATGTTATGTGAGCGGTCTACTTTCTGATTTTGTCTTTAAAAGTCCTCTCATTCATTTTTATTTGTTAATGTATCTTTCCATTAGGCATTATGACAAGTAACATCTGCTATCTTCCCTAGCTGTCCTCTCTTTCTTTTTCTTGGTGTGAACTGATGAAGTATGGGTATAGACACAGTATACCTAATTAGGTTCACAATGAGGGAAATTGAGATCATTCCACTTATGTGACCTCTTTTAATAAAAAAACAGCAATAACAGGAGTCAGAAAAGTAGATGAGCTGTTTTTTTGGTTGGAGTAGAGAGAAAGTGGGTTTGAGCCAGCATTCTGTATTTTCTGGGTGGGCCTGAAGCAGTCCAAAAGCCATCCTTGTCCAGCTGGCTCCCAGCTCACTCATGACTGCGAACAACCATGAGCTATTTATCCTTTCAAAGCATTTGCTTAAAAATGCTTGTGACTGTTTTACTCTGAATCAGAATGTAATCAATCCATAAGCTTGTTTTGTAGGGTTTGGATTGCTAAAGTAAAATGGTATAATTATAAAGCTGAACGTTTCTCATTCATCTTTTGAAAAGATAGCCATCACAAAAGACTAATGTGGAATCAAAGCTTTTTGCAGCATATAACAGCTCAGTGTGTGTCTCTGACATGTAAAGGCATGTGAGTGGTCATCTCAACTCTGCTGTATCCTCACAACCCCATCAATATCTGAGATCCACGGTGACGATTAACAAGCCAAGGGCGAACGGTTCAAAAGCTGACAGAGATGATGACAGATGTTTTAGAGCAACCTGTCAACAACGTCCTGAGGCGATGTGAAGTGTCTGTCTTCCTCTTTCAGGTTCTATTTGCTAGTAGACTCTAAATCAACAGTGCAGTGTCTGCTTGCATGGCAGGTTATTTCAAACTTGATGGAGCTGTAAATGTTTTGCACCATAAATAGCATTTGCAAGAGTAATCATACATGTTTAGTTTTTGCAAGATATTAATCATTAATTTGGAGCTTAAATTATTTGATTAACACCCTGGAACTTGTTGGAAGCTTCTCATTGTCCAGTGAAGCCAACTGCATGACAGTCATTTAGGGAATCATTATCTTTATAAGTATACAAGTTCTTGAAGAAGAATTTGACTGTTGTGGTGTTTCAACTCCAGCTAATACCCACATGAGTTCAAGCTAAAGCAGTTGCACAGCAGTCATGTGTTCTGATGCAGTTCAACAGTAATCCCAGTCAGCTGAGATAGAAATAGCAGTTTCACCAGAAAATGAAACATAAACATGTTTAACAGTCAAAAACAAAAAATCTATAGATGCAGAGGCTATATTCTCATGCCCATAAAATATTTCTGCAATGTTTAGATAAAATAGCCTACGTGCACTTTTCATTAAGAACTTATTTTAAATTTTACCCATTACACTGTAAAAAAAAGTTGTTGCCTAAATAACAATGAGTTGAATCTTGTATAACATAAAACAATTTGAAAATTGTTTTTGAGTTAAAGCAATACAAAAAACATATTTTTGTCATAAGGTTTTTTTTTTACAGTGTAGATTTTCAAACAGGCCATAGTCATTCAACCTCAATTTTATGAAGAAAATGAGAGTGGTGCTTGCCATGGTAAAACTCGGCAAAAGGTATTGTAGCTAGGGTGTTGTTACTTAGGCATTGATATATGGTTGCAGGAGTGTTCTGGGTGGCTGTTTCTAGGGTGTTAGTTACTTTGTGGCTACTATAGGCAGTTTCTAGTGTGTTCTGGGTGGTTGCTAGGGCATTGCTAGGGTGATTTGAGTGGTCGTTAGGCAGTTTATGTGGTGCAAATGTTTACAGCAAGGAATGTTTAGCTGGTATATACCTTCAAAACCCATGTTTGATCTAGAATCTACACCAATTGGCATTACATGATGCACATCACCATTAATTTAAATGATACATACAGTACTACAATAAGTTTCAGGGGAAAGGAAAATAATCTTGCTAATTTACCTCAACCAACCTCATGGCATGTCGATGGTCCAAAATAGTCTACATCACAAAGGGACTGCTACACTTTTTCAAAGAGCTAGGGATCACCACAATCGGGAAAGAGTTTATCAGGAAAAGAGTTGAAACACTGAAACAAGTGACCTTAACCCTTTCTTTCATCAAGCTTTCGGTTCCCATCTTCAGATCTGCCAATCATACAGACCCCATCCTACTCACTCCACTCAGCTCAACTAAGACTGAGCCAAGCCTCCGAAGCACCTAAGAAGCTGTAAAGTACCCAGAACTCAGCAGGAAATTAACATGCAGACGTCTAGACTTAAATCACAGCACATTGGAGGAACTTGGAGAGAGAGGAAAGGGGGCTATTTAGTTTTCCTCTCGTAATTATCTTAATGATTGCTTAGAAGGCCACACTACAGAGTGCTAAGTATGTCAACATGTATTTAGTTCAAATCTTATTGTTCATACTAATAGGGGCCTCAACTCAGTAAACCCAAAGGATGTTGAGCAGTAACAGGGTGGAGTTACAATTTACATGGGAAGTAAAGGATGTTTTGTGACCTCTGGAGGGATGAGGGAGTGTAATTTTGCAGTGCTTAACCCAGCATTGGTGAAATTAAAATAATAGGCTGCTCTCAGTTAAATGTGGCAGTTAATAGTGCACACATTTTTCACCAGACACACCTCTTTTACTTGCATTTGTGTTAAGACACTAGCAGCATCAAACCGTCAAACATCAATCCTGTGTTGTTAATTGAAATATTAGCATCGTTGTCCGATCAAATCAGAGGACCGGAACAAACTGTTGTGATATCTCATAACATAGAGATAAGCAGAAAGACATACAGTATAGCATCGGGGGACCTTCCAGACAGGAAGAGCACACTTCCACATCCTCTTGAGGAAATATAATCTGTACGTTAAATAAACAAAGGCAGACTGATTCTAACCAGGATGTATTAAATAAATTAAATGTGAGTAAAGACTTTTACGTATATTTCAAATAAATGTGTGCGCTAAATATAAGCAGAATTGTACAGTAATTGCGTGTACAGTAATTGTACAGTAATTGCTCTTATACTCTGTAAAAAGACAATCTAACCTAATTGCAAAAACAACCGCAATGGGCTCATGCCAGACAATTGCTTTTATTTTAAAAGTCTGTTCGAAAGCAAAGCTCCAAACTTGCCAAGTGAACATGCTGAGTTTTTAAGATGCATGCAGTTCACAAAACCATAATTTAATTAGCAAACAAAATCACAGCCACATTTCGACTGTATAAAAGACTCTGTGGAGAAGAATGAAGCTCTGAACGCTAGCTCATACAAGTCTGCATTTTAAACAGCTCTGGGCTGGATTTTCAGCAGCATTTTAGTATATTGGTCAGGGTAAGAAAGGGTGTACAAAGAAAAGAAAGAGCGAGAGAATGGAGGAGGACTCTCAGAACAGAGTTCACCCCTAAAGAGTACCTCTAGTGCAAACTGAAACCTGGCTCAGGCAGATCTATGAGCCCATTGAAGAACCCATGGGAGGAAGAAAACTATAGAGTAGAAAGGCCCAGATTTGGATGAAAAGCCTTTTTTCTTACCCAGCATCTGTATGAGAGGTATTATGTTCCTTAACAGTGTTCCCGTTATATTAACAGCGCTATATCAGAGAAAACAGTGTCACGGGCTATAAGAGACATAAAACTTTGTCTTTGGAAACACTGTATTTCTGACAGCTCTTCCAGGGAACTAAAACCAGTGCTACTTTTGTGTCTCTCGTATAACACGCTGCTGAGGCCGATTGCAAAGTTTTTTCCTTTTCTTATTAGATATTATCTAAAACTAAAACCATAAATAAAAAAAACATTAACTAAAATAAAATAAAATAAAATACACAAAAACCTTATTTTTTAAGCGATTTCTGAGAAACACTGCTAATATTTGAAATCAACCCAAACAAACACAGCCCTCCCTTCATTGCTCATTGCACAAACATGCAATGCAAGAGTGGATGTCTCCTTAGCTGGAGAGAAGCAAAATAATGCTTTGCAAAAAAATGAAGCAAAGATACCTAACGAACGACAAGGAAGAACAAAAAAACGAACACACAGTACACAAGAGTATATATAAGCAAGAGTTTGTTGTTATTCAGCAGCAGCACACCAGCTCCAGACAAACAATGGCACTCAAAACTGTCCTGTTACTATAGCTACCATTACAACAACAGCATATTTTGGTTCTGTGAAACATAGCAAAACTAATGTTACTTATGAAGCAGAAACAAAGCAAACTCTGTGTCTGTTTTCAGGCCTTCCCGCTTGGGTCTCTCTAGCGCTGGAAAGCTTTTCTAATATTAACGCGGGTCTTAAAGCTCTCGCCTGATCATAACCCTTCTTTTTCCAGTGATATTCCTCTGACCTTTTCTCTATTGTAATGTCTCTCAGCCATCTCTCTTTCTACAGTCTTTCTTCAAATCTCCCTCTTGCTCACTCTCTCTCCTCCCCCATCATGAGTGGACACGCCCCCTACAGCTGATTGGCTAGTCTACAAGTGTGTTGTGGTGCTCAGTCCTATCCACTTTCAACAGCATTTCTCAGAAATCGCTGACGGGTCCTGATCACCCTGTGTGAAGGTTTATTTTTCCATACTATCTCTTACATATGTTATCTATATCTCTCAGGACTATGAGTACCCCAACCATCCTCAGACCACTCAGCACCAGAAGAACGACCGCTGTCCCCCGCCGCCCCAGATGCTGCCCGAGCGGGCCTGTGAGGTGCCGGGTTGCCGGTCAGATTCTGAGTGTGAGAGACACAAACGGTGCTGTTACAACGGCTGCATCTACGCCTGCCTGGAGTCAGTGCAACCTCCACCCGGTGAGAAAACACACTATGATCTGCTCAATAATCACTACAAGCAACCCCACAGACACACACATTTGCTTTAGCAGAGCAAATGGATTTTACAATGAATTGATCCTCTCATGAGGTGTGAGTTACTGAGCAGGGTGTGTGTAAGGTAAATCATGAGTACTTTTGGCCATGCTTATAATGTGTATTGATTTCTTTTTGGTCAGTGCTGGACTGGTTGGTGCAGCCCAAGCCGCGGTGGTTAGGAGGGAACGGCTGGCTTTTAGATGGACCAGAGGAGGTTCTGCAGGGTGAGTATCGATTAATCAATCAATTAGTGCACAGAGTGACAGCGCACTGACCATTATTTGTTGTTTGGAACAATATTAAGAAATATTATTAGAGTACTGAATAGTATTCAATTTAACGTGAATGAAAACGAGGTACATGCTGCATAAAAGTCCTAGATCACATGTAATTTTCACAACTCACAACTTTTAAACCTGTTTTATGGAGTTTTTGTGTACTGAAAGTTTTTTGGAAAGATGTTTCATCAGCTGAACACTTTTACCTGCAGCCTCGTTTTTATTCTTGTCAACTATTAAATAACACTAAGGTCTCATATCCAAAAATCGGTTGCACTTTATTTTACAGTATAGGCTACGTGCACTTACATGTAGGCTACTTACAGTGTACTTATACCTAAGAAAGTAGTAGGCAATAGGGAAGGGGTTAAGGTTAGGTTTAGGGGTAAGTTCAGGGGGTTAGTACCTTGTTATTACCCAGTTATTATAATTACTATAATAAGTACATGTATGGAACATGCGTAACAGGGCAATGAAATAAAGTGTTACCCAAAAATCTATCAGAAATAAGAACATTTAGAAAATTGAGCTGTTCGTGAGTTGATGAAAGGCTAATAAATAATTAAATCATAAAAATATAAAACTAAAATAAATAACTTTAAACACACACACACACACATATATATATATATACAGTATATATATATATATATATATATATATATATATATATTATATATAAATATAATTTATAATATATTTTATTTTATATTATAGACAATATCTATATTTATTTTATATGAAAGTATTTTATATTTATTCTTAAATTAATTTTTTTTATTTTTAGATTTAATATTTTATGTTATGTTATATACAAATTGTATTTGCTTATCTGCATGTCATTATCTGCATCAACATTGGAACCCTGATCAAATCCATTAACCAACATTGGAACCCTGATCAAATGACTGTGTTTTGTAAAACATTTTTAAATCTAAACTTAAAATTTTAGGGGGTTTAAGGGTTTTGGCTAACTTTTTTTTTTTTTTTTTGAGGAATATATATAATACCTGTGAAAACTCTCCAGAATGGTCTAACTGGCCCATGCTAGCAGGCAAACCTTGACCCCTCAATATATACATCCCTAGCAGTGACACTGCCACCTGCAGGTGGTTTACTGGCAGTATTACCAAATCACGAATTAAAGAACAAGGGTTACACGCACACTTTGCCTGTGATAAAACATTCTGGTGCTCAAACAAATATTCCGATGATAATAATACAAATGACCTATTGTGCAACATAAATACATTGGTAACTCGTTTGAACACAGATATGCATAAAGCAGTGACTTCCTTGACTGTGTTTATGTGTAGCTGAGGCCTGCAGCACCACAGAGGATGGAGATGAGCCTTTGCTCTGCCCAACTGGTTACGAATGCCACATCATAAACCCAGGAAACCCCTCTGCTGGGATCCCAAACCGAGGCCAGTGCATCAAACAGCGTGGAAACTCAGGTCTGAAAGGGCTCCTCCATCCAATTGTTGATTCATACATCCATCCCTCTGTCCACTCAAACATGTGTTTTACATTATAATATGGTGGTTATAAACATTGTTTTAGTAAACACCTAAGCAAGATTACATTCAAAATACAACAGCAGATTGAATTAATATATTTAAATCAAATATTCATACAATAAGCCCATTTAACTGTTCTCCCTCTAGATGGACGTAGCCTGAGACACAAGTCCTTCAAAGATTACAAGGATTATTTAGGTTAGTATGACCACCAATTTATTTTGTGTTTCAGCGATAGGGAGGGGGAGAATAAAAGCAGCCATTAATAATAGACTGACAATGAGTTTATCTTTATTCATCAGGAAGTAACTCCAACAATGCAGTGAGCTATGAGAAACATCCGCACAAGCACTTGGGTTGAGACAGGTGAGTTGGGTTTAGTTGAGTTTTACCATTGCATGCATTTGAATCTCAACTTTTGAATCCTGATTTTTGTCATATCTGTTTTACAAGAGGCATTATCTTTTTTTCTCATTTAGGTGACTGAATGTGGGTTCCATTTTAGAGGACGGCAGTAACCAGTAACCACTGACTCTTATACTTGAACCCCACCCATCAAATCCAACATAACTGGACAAGACTTTCTCTTCAGCTTAAACCAGAGATCAGTTCATATCTGGTGCTATTTTCCATGGCTGCTTGATATGGAGACAGAAATGGAAAGCCAAAATTTCCTACCTCTTACAAAAGCCAAAAACAGAACACAGAAATTATCAAAGAGCTTATACTATAATATCTGTCTTATGTGTGCATAGCTACTTTGGGTAAAAAGCACATTCCCTCAGAATTAACTATATTTGAGAGTTTTGAGAATAATACTTTGTGTGGTTTTTATGCTGCTGAGTCTGAACTCTTGGTTTTTTTTTCTGTTTTTTTTCTTCTTCTTTTTTTTTCAAAAAAATCATGTGTTTAGGTGATTGTCTCGACTAGTTCACCAAACAACAGTTAAATTCTAGCTGTGCTCCATCACAGTAAAATATTTGTTTTTGGTGCTTCAAACTAACTGCGGTTATTGTTGTTTACTGAGCCTGTGACTCATTGTCCAGGTCTGTGTTTTCTCCACTGCTCTCTGATAAGCTATAAGAGTCTGACAAGTGGGACAAACCACAGCCTTTAATAAATCAAAACATTTGAAATTGGTGCTGCATATTACTCCATTGTAATTCCAAATAAAACAGTTGACAAAATATATCTGTGTCGTGTTATGTTTTTATACATGGTGCTAGCGGGGTTTGAATGTAACGAAGAAAGATGTCCTTTTCAAATTTTATTCACAGATTTTATCCAGCAAATCTTTATTTAGAAAATTAAAAAGGTTGCTATATAAATATGAATAGTATGTTCTGTAATAACTAATGAAACCATCTTGCATTTATTTTGGCGTTGTACTTATTTAGTTATATTGTGGTGTAAAATACATACATGTACTTACCTATGAAAGTACTGGTTAATATAACTGTCTTGGGTTAAGGTTAGGTTTAGGGGTAGGTTCAGGATTAGTACCGTACTCAGTTATTGTAATAACTGTACATGTACATGGGGAACAGGACATAAAGTGCTACCTCACTAATTATAATGACTAAGATGAAATGTGCTTTTAATTTACTTATATTTTGACCAAATTTCACATTCATAAAGGCAAATTTTTAAGACTTTATGGTTTTGTTGACTGGAGTATAGGCTACATCAGAGATGGGCAACTGAGGGACACTGTCCTGCAGAGTTTAGCTTAACTCGAGCTTAACTCTGCAGGACAGTGGCCCTCCAGGACTGGAGTTGTCCATCCCTCTTGTACATGAACAGTATAAGAGACTAAGAAAGCTATAAAGATCACAAGTTTGTGAAGCCATAACTATTTGCATAACCATATTGTTATATCTCCCGTCCTCCCTTGGCACCTTTATATATATATCTTTATATATATATATATATATATATATATATATATATATATATATATATATATATATATATATATATATATATATATATATATATTTCTTTATTCATTTACTGTTTTATAAGTGGCTAATACATACTTTTGTATAATGTTTAATATTTGCAAGTGAATGAAAGAGTGTGACATGTTAATGTTTCTTGAAGAATACACTAGTGTAAGCTTTCTTGAATCTTGAATGATGAGTATCATATTTCAAAACTGTAACATTAATAATCTAATTCATGTAATTATATTCTTATTATAGAATTAACCTGTATTGTAAAATTACTTATAATTTGTTTCATGTTGTTTCGGGACCTTTATTTTGAAATTAGTTTTGTGTAGACATGGGCTTCCCTTCCGGGGTCAAGAGTAACCAACGTGGTGGATCCTGCTGCACAACGTGTGCACTGCTTCTAAGTGAAAAAAACATCTGAAAGAGAACAAAATACATACGAAAAGAGGGTAAGAAAAGATATTGTCATTTTGTCATTGCATTCCGTTCTTCTCGGATCATACGGTATTAAGGCTGTGTCACCTAAATGAGTAGAAAAGTTGGTTAACCTAAGTCACTTCACAAAGACGATTTCAGAAACAAACCATAACATGATACGGGAGCCACTTTTTTTCAAATACTTTAACAAATATTTATATTTAAACAGGTACGTTTATAGTTATAGGCTCCTCGTATAGTTTTTGATCACGAGTGATCAGTCCACACTGAGTCAACTAACGTTATTTGAGCAAAAGATTAACTTTTCTTTGACAAAAACAATGTTCTTATGATATGATGTCCATATATTTCAGATCAGCGATGGGGGAGTTTAAAGTTCACCGGGTTCGGTTCTTTGACTACATGCCGTCAGCAATCAGAGCCCTGGCTTTCAACCAGCAGAACGAAACGATGGCAGTGGCGAGGATGGACGGAGCTGTGGAGATTTTCCTCTGTTCAGACAGATTTTTCCAAGGAAAGGTACACGTTAAGTAATGCTTTGTCATATTTATCAAATCAGTGATCATAGACATCTTTATCTTAGGTTTGGGTACCAGAGCTATGTTGATACAATGGTTTTTGACCAGCAAACAGTGTGTTTAAGATGCTTAACTATGTTTCCTATGTCCACAGATCATCCCTGGCAGAGAGCAGTGTGGGATTGAAGGTCTGACATGGGTTGGTGAGCGTCTGTTCAGTGCAGGACTAAACGGTCAAATAACTGAGTATGACCTGACAAACCAGAGAGTGAAATACACCATAGATGCGTATGGAGGGCCAATCTGGGCCATTACAGGCAATCAAGAAGGAACACACTTAGCGGTAGGTTTGCTTTCCTTAAAGGGTTTGTTCACCCAAAAATGAAAACTATCCCATAATTTACTCACCCTCAAGCCATCCTCCTCCTAGGTGTATTTGACTTTCTTCTTACAGCCAAACACATTTGGAGTTATATAAAAAAATATCCTGGCTCTTCCAAGCTTTATAATGGGAGTGAATAGTAATTAGATTTTACTATTATAGTAAATAAAGAGATTTTGACGCCAAAAAAAAGCACATCCATCCATCCTAAAAGTAATCCATACGGCTCCAGGGAGTTAATAAATGCCTTCTGAAGCGATACGCTTTTGTAAGGAAAATATCCATAACTGCGAATTTTTATTCATTTTCATTTAATTTAAACAGTGACATACAGCTGCATTCAAGTGCTGTCGGAAAGAACAGGAATCATGGAGGACACGAGGTTTATTCTTGCCTATTGTATTTATTGGGTATTAAAGCCAAAATGATATTTAGTGTCCCCTTCACTGACAATCATATAAACATTCACTATGCTGTCAAGATATTCAGCTTGCTGACAATTCTGTAATTGATGTAAAATACAGGTTATTTTCGCTGTGTATAAAACAGACAATATGCTTGAAATGATTATTCTCATAGTTAAATATGCACTGCTTTAACGACAAGACAAGGCGATGTAGCTGTTGTGGGAAAAAGCTAATAAAGAATAGCAGTCACATCAGCAATCCTTCTCCCCTTGGGCATGTTTAAAGTTTGTGGAATGCCCTTCTTGGGAACGTGGGTATTTAAATTATCCCAGAGATTCCTTGTAGTAAATATGACATTAGAGGGTGTTTATGTCCTTTTTTTAACTAGGTAACTCGTATTTACGATAATTGCGATAGCACGTGATTAAAATCATGAAGTAGAAGTTGCGATAATCTTTTCTTTTCTTATTATGACGTATATCCAAGTGAAACAGCTTCTCAAACAAGAAAAAATGTTGGGCGGGACTTGATTTTGTCCAATGAATTGATTGATTGGATGGTTGTGGTTTGCTATTGCTGTGTTGTCATGTGAGTGACAGATTGTCCTGCCCTCATGCTGGTAAACACATTATCAGAGATGTTGGTGCAAGAGAGAGGGGAAGTTATTTTGATTAAAGACTTAGGGCACAAATTTATAATAAATATTATATTCCATAAATAAGAATTGTCCATTTTGATTTCATAGTAGGGCTGCAACAAACGATTATTTTGATAATCGATTAATCTAACGATTATTAGAACGATTAATCGACTAATCGTCGATTAGTTCGTAGACTGATCAGTAAGTTTGGAACGATTATTCAGCTTTTCCAATTAGTTAAAACATTGAGTTATACATATTCTAACTATAATATAAAAAAAGAAAATCACTTCAGCTTTTGAAATAGTTGTTTTATGAACTTTGAGCCAACTAAACAGGTCATTCTCTTTAAGTTTTCAGATTTCGGTCCAACTCAAATCACACACAAATGCTCTCTAAGCATTGTTTAATAGGCCCACTGCTTTTCTTAGAACTGAAACAGAAAAAGGGACATTTACTTCAGGACACAAAGAATGGTAAAATATTAATCTGCAAACAATTATTCTAAGTATAAAATTACAATCTTTTTTTACATGACAATTGAGCTGACAGAGACCTTCTCATTCACCTTTTAATTTATAGTATGATAAAGTAACTGCCATGATATTCTTCCTATATCATAGGAAGGGTATAACATCTCGTTTTGTAAGTCTTCATGATTATTGAACAAAATACAGGCAAGTGATGAGACTATAATAATACCTAATATACTAATAGTGTTACAATAATAAAAACAGCCCTGACTCCTAAGCTCGATCAAGCTTTATTCTATGCAAAATAAGTCATCACATTACTGTAATTATATTACTATTGATAATATTATTACTATTATTAGTAGTATTGCATTCTCTAATAAAGAGAGATTTACCGCTGGTTAGTAAGCTCCAGCTGGAGAACACTCACTTCTCACCGGCTCCTCTTTTGCCGGGATGTTTCCTCTTGCACTCCAACATGCATGTTGTGCTTTTTCACGGGAGAAAAGCAAGTTCCGCCTTGCATGTATTGCACACGACAGCATTCTTGATTTGAAGTTTTGTGAAACTTTCCCAAACCTAAACCTTGCTAGTTCGGATTCGTTTGCACTGTCATAATTCGCGCTGTGTTTTCTTCTACCGCAATAGCATTTGTAAGGGCTGCACTACACTCTAGCGCTACAGCGCCGTAGCGGTCAAATCGCGATATTGCAGGCCCTTACATTAGGTCACGTGAGATCAAACGACTACTCGACAACAAAGATATTTGTCGACAAATTTTTATTGTCGACATTGTCGACAACGTCGACTAATCGTTGCAGCCCTATTTCATAGTGACTTAAAGAAAAGATAACGCAAGACATTTCATAAAAAGAAGTTTGTTCAGATTTTGTGGTTTAACGTTTGTAGGTTGGTTGTGAAGACGGAACTGTGAAATTGTTTGCGGCGAACGAAGACAAAATACAGTTTGAGAGAAATCTGGACAGGCAGAAAGGTGAGTTTCAGATGCATGTCTTGAATGGTTACTTTATTCGAAAATAGAAAACGTTTGAACATCTGTCGACCAAATTCCATAGGCCGCATCATCTCTCTGTCCTGGCACCCATCAGGCTCCAAAATAGCTGCTGGAATGATAGATATGATCCAGATTTTCAATGTGGAGACAGGTAAACAGAATTTGTCTTTCTTCCAAAACACCTTATTGCAATCATGTAGAATGAGTACATGAGCTGGAGAACTTTAATGTAGTCATGTGTGTAATTTGTTTTTTTTAGGCCAGTCTATTCACAGAATGCTGACTGACAGGGGGACATCCCGGAGTAAGGAGTGCATGGTGTGGTGTGTGGTCTACCTCTCGGATGGGACCGTCATCAGTGGAGACTCTGGGGGAATGGTCAAAATGTGGAATGATCACACCGGTACACTAATCAAAAGCCATAATGTTTCAAAATGTGACGTGCTGGCTTTATCAGTCTCTCAGGTGAGAAGATTGCTGTGAATTTGCAGTCACATTTATGACTTTATAGACTAGCTTTTAAAATATTTTTATAGAAGTCTCTTATGTTCACCGAGGCTGTATTTATTTGATAAAAAAATTTATTGTAAAATATATAGTAATTTATTTAAAACAACAGTTTTTAAATTTTATTCCAACATATTTTAACATACAATTCCTGTAATGGCAAAGTTACATTTTCAGCAGCGTCAGTGCCATAGTATCCTTCAGAAATCATTTTAATATTCTGATTTGGTGCTCAAAAAAACATTCCTTATTATTATTATTAATGTTGAAAACAATTATGCTGTTTAATATTTTTGTAGAAACCACTATGTATTTTTTTTTTTCAGGATTATTTGGTGAATTTAAAGTTCAAAAGAAAAGTATTAAAATAGAAATCTTTTGTAACATTGTTAATGTATTTACTGTCACTTTGATCATTTTAATGCATCCTTGCTAAATTTATTTGTTTCAAAGAAAGAATAAAAATCTTACTGACCCCAATCTTTTGTATGGTTAGTGTACATATAGAGTACATGACATACTACAAGAATACAGATAGTATTCTTACTATCTAGATAGATAATTCTTATTGTACCCTCTTGAATGACAGAAAGAGGACAGCTTTGTGGCCGGGACATCAGAAGGATTTGTGGTACAGTTCCAGTTCATCTCTTCGGTTCTGGAAAAGAATGACAAAGAATGGGTCAGAACCAGAACATTTAGGAACCACACTCATGATGTCAGAGCTGTGGCGGAGATCACAACGGCTGTGGTTTCGGGAGGTGAGTTGTTTTTTTTTCCTTTTTCTTAGATGATTCGAACAGATCTGCCTTCATCACACAATCCATCACATGACTGAAGTATTTTTGTTTAAAAGAGCCTTCTCGTCTCAGGTATGGACACACAGCTGGTCGTGAGACCTTTATTAGACAAGATTGAAGTGAAGTCATCGGCCTCTGCCTTGCAGAAGATTATCTTTCCTCATGTGAGTATTGTGAAATGTTGACATGCACATAGAAAACATGTTTGTAATTGACTCTTAATGGGAGGGACTTGTTCTGCTCTTTTTCATTGCAGAGGAGTCTGGTGTCCTGTGCAAGAAAGGCAGGCCTGATGCTTTTCCAGTACCCTGGTCATCTGGAGCTTTGGAGACTAGGAGAGAGTGAAGGACAAGGTGAAGATGTTATTCAATGTGATATTCATATTGACTACCAGTTAGATGTTTGAACTCACCTAATCATTCTTTACAATTACTATTTCCCACATTTTAGAATGATAGTAAAGTAATCAAAAGCTATGAAGCGGCGTAAATAGAATTGTAGGAATTACACTGACATAAAAAAACGCAATTTATTTAGCAAGGATGTAATGATCAAAAGTGACAGTAAAACATTTATAATGTTAAAAAAGTTTTCCCCTTTCTAATAAATGCTGAACATTCTTTTGAACCTTTTATTTATCACAGAATCCTGAAAAAATGGCTTCCACACAAAGATTAATGGCACAACTGTTTTCAATATTTGTGCACCAAATCAGCATATTAGTATGATTTCTGAAGGATCATGTGACACTGAAAACTGGAGTAATGATGCTAAAAATTCAGCTGTCATCACAGTAATAAATGACATTTTAAAGTATATTAAAATAGAAAAGTTATTTTTAAATTGTAATACTGTTTCACATTTTTACTGTTTTACTGTAATTTGATCAAATAAACGCAGCCTTGATGAGCATAAGATACTTTATTCAAAAACATTAAATAACATTATGCCAACCCCAAACCTTTGAAAGGTAGTGTGTGCAGTGACTGTAATGTTAAACATAAAAAATCATACATTTGAGCTGCTTCAAAGTAGCCATCCGTCTAAAGCTCATTCTTTCATGAGGAGCATTCAGAGATACTTTTATGCAGTATTGAAGGAGTTCCCATGAATACTGAATGTCAGCACATTTTATAAAACTTATATCAAGCAGGTAAGCTTAAGCCTTTAGATGAAAAGACATTTATAATAATGAGAAACCAGTTTAGTCGAGTGTCTCCTGACTTTTGACTGATAGTGTATGAAATAATTTCTATTTGACTTTGGCATGAAATGTCGTTTTTTTTTTTTTTTTGGTTTTATTTTCTATTTGTCTTTTGTTTTCAGGCATACCTGGAAGCAGTTTACTTGTAAAAAAAAATCCAGAGAAATTGCTTCATTTGAAAGTGAAGGTACCATTCTTGCTTTGAAAATCAATGTTATTTTTTTCTTTAAAGCATGACGTGAATATTTTTTAAACATTACAATTGGTTTAAATTAAAATCTCCATAGTCATCTGTATAACTTTCTGCAGTATGTGGTGAGAGTTGTGACATCCATAGTGCTGCTGAAATGAATGAAGTGATTGAACTGTGATGTTTATCTGCAGGGAGAGGATCACATTCGCTGCAGTGCCGTATCTCCCTGTGGAGAATGGATTGCATATTCCACAAATAGCAGTTTAGGGCTCTACAGACTACACTGCGACAATAACAACATCAGCATCACCAAGGTACTGTAGATTTCCACAAAACTGCATGAAAACACATTACATAACTTTGTAGCATGGTAAAGAATGCATAGACTCTCCTTGAATTTTGAAGTGTCTGATGGCCTTAGATGAAGGTCCCATGAAAACTGATTAAAAAGTTTTTTTTTTTTCTTCTTTATTCAGATATCCAAAATTCCAAAGGTACTCAGCTCAGCCAAGCTTTGCTTCTCCTCAGACTCCTCCCATTTGTTTTCCGCCTCCACACAGTCGTCAGTGCATGTGGTCTCGCTCAGCCAATCAGGTTGCAAGCTTGTGGGCACCCTTAAACCTAAGTCAGGTGAGGACTATACGGATTTATCTTTAGGCCGCTGTGAAAATTAATTTCACAGATTCACAAATTAATGCATTTTGATCAAAAGTAACAGTAAAGACATTTATAATGTGACACATATAAAGACACATATAATTTATAATAAAATATTATATTTCAAATAAATGCTGTTCTTTTCAACCTTATGTGGTTTCACTTTATTTTGATGGTCCCTTTAACACATTCAGTTGACTATAAGTAACGTTGCACCCAACTCTCATTAGGGTGTTAGTACAGTATTAGTAGACAGGTAGGGTTAGGGATAGAATAAGTTGACATGTAGTTGCAAAGTTACTTATAGTCTGTAGAATGTCTGTTGGAGGAGCATCACAATAAAGAGTTTGCCGATATTAAGCAGACAATCTACTAATACTGAGAGTTGGTTGACATGTAGTTGCAAAGTTACTTATAGTCAACAGAAAGTTCAAAAGGGACCATCAAAATAAAGTGTTACCCTTTGTTTATCAAAGGATCCTGAAAAAATTGCATTATGGTTTCTTCAAAAATATTAAGCAGCACAACTGTTTTCAACATTGTTGATAATAAGAAAATATTTCTTGAGCATCAAATCAGCTAATTAAAATGGTTTCTGAAGGATCATGTGACACTGAAGACTGGAATAATGGTGCTGAGAATTTAGCTTTGCCATCACAGGAATAAATGGTATTTTAAAGTATATTAAGATAAAAAAAAAAACTGTTTCCTTAAATTACAATAATATTATTGCTTAACTTTTTTTTATTATTTTTTTATCAAATAAATGCAGCCTTGGTGAGCAAAAGAGACCTCTTTTAAAAACTTTTTTTAAAGACTCCAAACCTTCGTGCAGAAGTGTGTATGTAACAAGATTGTCCTCCTGTAACAGGTTCCCATCAGGCCATTCACTTATTGGCAGCCAGCGAGGATGGCAAATGGTTGGCTTCTGCTAACAGTGACCACGAGGTTCACGTCTACAACCTGCATACAAAGGAGGTGTGTTTTATGTCCAGTGTTGGGGAAAGTTACTTTTAAAAGAAATGCTTTACAATATTATGTTACTCTCTTAAAAAGTTATGGAAAATAATGCACTGCATTACTTTTTCTCACCTGGTCTGGGCTTGCTTGTTTGTTTTATAATAACAAAAAAGTTCTGTTTTCGGCAAATGTAAAGACCCTTTCACATCAAAAGTGATATAACAAGCCTCAGGCTTAAGAAAAGGCTAATTCACGTGTGTAGTGTACAGTAGAGGACACAGCTCAAACTAACTGAATTCCATTCTGAATTGCAGAAGAATAGCACACAGAAGAAAGTTCAACACACTTCAGCAATAAAAACAATGTTTATCTGAAGTCATTTTTGCTTATTAGTATGGTTGAATTGGATCATCTAAGGTCAGCAGCAAAGACATTGGTTAATAAATTGTGTTCTTTAACATATTTAATAATTGCAGGTTTGCGTAATATTCTGAGTTTGCATTACACTGTTTTTATTCAACTTGAGGAATACTGAATCCTCACATTTAGTCTAGAACTATAATAACCATCAAGTTTACACGGCACACAACGCCTCATGACAGGAGAGGTGTCGGTCAATAAATTAAAAAATAAAGTAACTTGTGTTACTTGTTTGAAAGAGTAATTCAGATATTTTCTTGTTATTTTAAAAGGAATGCATTACTGTCCTATCTATTTGAAATATTGAAATATGTTGCTATATTAGTGCAAGTGAAAATTGTGAAGTGACTTTATATAGTTGAGTATACAGAGATTTGAACATGTAAGCTCCCACGTTGTTCTTTTTAAAGCTTTATCTATTTATTCTAATGTGTATTTATGACATAATCTATTTATATACATTTAAACTAAATGCTTAATTGTTAAACTAAAATTGTTAATGTGTAATGGATTAAGGGTATAATAATAGAAATCATATAAAATAATTATAATAATCATTGCTAAAGCCAGACAATTTTGTCTAAAAATCTCTAGTTACCTATAATTTAATACCTTTAAAAAAGCAAGAGAATCTGGCGGAGTGACTTTATTGTGTCAGACATGTCACTTTGATTACAGCTGAACTGAGCTGGAAGATTACATCTCTTCTTTTCTCTGAGGCTACTTTATAGATGAATTTAACTTTACTTTACACAGTTATTGAACCAAACAGAATGAACACTGAACTGATTTCAACTGAATAATGACTGCTTTACAGCAGAATTGAATTCTGTTTGCGTCATTGAATCATTATTTTTCTGTTTATCATATTAAAGTTGCTTTGAAATAAATCTGTATTATATAAATAAAGGTTAATAAAGTTTGGTTCAATATATACACTACCGTTCAAAAGTTTGGGGTCAGTGAGAATTTTATTTTTATTTTTTGGAGGAAAGAAATCAATACTTTTATTTATCAAGGACAGTAAAGACATTTATAATGTTACAAAAGATTCTATTTCAAACAAATGCTGTTCTTTTGAACTTCCTATTCATCAAAGAAACCAAAAAAAAAAAAAAAAAAAACTGTACAACTGACAGACCAACAACTGTTTCAACATTGATAATAATAATAAATGTTTCTTGAGCATCAAATCCTCATATTATACTGATTTGTGAAGGATCATTTGACACTGAAGACACTGACACTGGTGGTGCTGAAAATTCAGCTTTGATCACAGGAATAAATTACACTTTACTATATATTCACACAGAAAACAGCTGATTTACACTGGAATAATATTTAATACTATAACTGATTTTTGTTGTATTTTTAATCAAATAAGCGCAGCCATGGTTAGCAGAAGAGAATTCTTTTCAAAGTATTTAAAATCGTACCGACCCCAAACTTTTGAACGGTAGTGTATAGATATAGATATTGATATATTGATGGTTAACGATAACCTCATATGTTTCAGCTTCATTGCACAGTCCCTATATACAGTTCTGCTGTCAGCGCCATGGCCATCCACCCAGAAACAAACTGTCTATTCATGATGCATGCAGATCAACGGGTAATTAGTGAGCTTTTATGGCGACCTCCATTGAATTGCATAGCTGTGATTTGAATTGGCTTAGATTTGTTTTTCTTGTTCTTATCCGTTTTTGTTCACCACAGATGTTTGAGTTTTCCATAGAGCGGAAACAATACACTGACTGGAGCAGATTGGTGCAGAGGAATGGCCTTCATTATATCTGGCTGGAAAGAGACACACCGTGCCTCAACGTGATGTTTAATCCCCAAAATCCTTCCCATGTCATCCTGCATGATACCTACATGTTCTGCATCATTGATAAAAGCCTGGTGAGACCGAATTAGTCATGCTCTGTCATTACATTTAGTGACTTCAGAAAGCATTTGCCATGCTTAGAATTAATGTTTGTAATTGTCTAAACTATATATCAAACCAAGTGTTATTATTTTGAAACCTTTCACTAAACATTTTCATTCTTCAATTCCTTTTCTGTCGTGACATTTAATTTTTTTGTATTTTTAGAATCTTCAATTTGTTGGAATCATGTATCTTTATATGGTTGTGAACTGCATGTTTCTAATGCTGGTAGTTTATGATCATCTATTATTTTATTTTTTTTATATATATATATATATGAATTTTCAAAAATGCATGTGTCTGTTCTAGCCACTGCCTGATGTCAAGACACAATTCCTCAATCAGCTGACTCTGAAGAGCCTCCCAAAGGAAAAGAGGAAATCTCACAGCCATGCTTTCAAAGTCTGCAAGACCTTCAGGGTGTGTGGGACAACATGTACATGGTGTTTTTTCATTTTCCTGAAATTTTGGATGGAAAATTAATTACTTTTTATTCTCTTTCTGTCTTTTAGGAGATGTTGCATGTTGAGCTGATGTCAGATCAGTCTCTGGTGGTGGTTGAGCGCCCTCTGGTGGACATATCCACTCAGTTGCCTGCACCCATTAAACAAAAGAAATTTGCCACTTAAAAGTAAATCTCCCCTGTATGTGTGTGGCCTCAGTGAGGAAGTGTTTTATTCAGCGACTGCACATTTTCCCCTCTTCCCCCATTGTAAAAACTGCTGCGACCGTATTAAAAAGAAATTTACCATAGCTTCTGTGTTGGTCTTTTGTCTTTAGGTTTGATGTCTTTGGGTATGTTCTGACATCAATGTTGTTATTAGTAACTAAAACTATTAAAATTGTTTTCTGTAATTGAAACAAATACTAGACTGACTCATGGACATTTATTGAAGGGTGAAGAAGCACCAAAATGCCAATACGGTAGTACCAACTTGTCTGTAAAACATATTCTTTTGGACTGCCCATTGCCCAATCTTTAATGTTATGAGAATGCAGTTGTTATCAGGACAAACTTTTAAGGACTTATTCATGGATCCAGGTTTTTTTGTGTTTTTTGCACAAGTACATTTAATGAATCTATTATAGAATTGTACTTATTTTGTACATGTAGTTTTTCTTTTTCTAAGTTTGTTTTCATTATGTTGTAACATCAAAATATTTTGTTTACCATTTTGGTGCTTAATGTATCTGCCATGTAATAGCCAGTGATGCTGATATGGCAATAAACTCAAATACTACTACTGTAATTGAAACAAAGCTAAAATAAAAGTAGTATTGAAAATTAGAAGTGTTGAAAGAGATTTAAATGTATATAATAGATCAGCGCTTGAAATACTAAAATGACTCGAAATAAAACAATAAGACACTATTAAAAATGGCAATCACCGGATGAAATGTAAAAATAAAAGCTAATTCAAAATAAGTACCATAAAAGTACTAAATTGTGTTGAATAAAATATAGTTTTCATATATCATGTGCTCTTCATTTTATCACTTTCAAAAAGGTAATACCACCACATTAACTTAATTGTTGTAGTTAAATAGTTACTTCTAGGTATTTCAAAGAATACAATGGCTTTTGGACTTCTAATGTATGGAAATAAGTATAACAGGTAATTATATATAACCTTTTATTTTTTATTTATGTTGCAATTTAATGTCAAATATAGGCACTTTAATCTCAGTCTTTGAATATTTGCTTTTTTGTTGTTTTTTATATAAGTTTTAGTTATAGATTCTTTCTTTTTTTTTAAATAACATGTTTTTAGAATAGCAATTTTGGATTGAGTAAATAATGACTGAATAACATTACTTGAACTGGCGTTTTCGTTTTGTTTTAGTGTATTTCACACATACCTCAAGTGTCAGTTCAATGCAAGAACCGAAATGTCAAATATTATAATATATTTGTTTATAATACGAAGTATTTTCTTTGTTTATTTAAAGCTATTATTACCACGGCCTTTTATTTTGAAACACACTAATTGCGTCACTAGAGGTTGTTGCTGTGATGCTGAGTGTCAAACTCGCGCGATTGTTTTGGCAGGATGGCCGCCCCTCTCAGTGACAGCAATCAGAGACCACTGCAGAATGCCATGAAGCTTGTAAAAGTGGCCATTCAGCTGGACACCAGCAACAGACACAAGGTAGATATGTTTAAATCTTTAAACCTGCCTTGTTTGGTCCAGATATGGTCATATTTAGCCAATAAGTGCATGCGAGAGCGACGTCATTTATCAGCGTAAACATTGATAGAAGCTGATGATCATGAGAACCCCAATGATTTCCCCCCAAAAACTGCGAGTCCAGTCGATCGTGTCCAAAATGTGAACTTTTTTCAATGAATTACTGATACAATATTTAAAAGTACTGATACTTTCTTAGGATAAAATCATATCAATGGTGATTTGCATAGTTTACTTTTTGATATTAACCAAATCTAATTACCTGTTTGCGAATCACCTGATCTCAGAGTGTTTAACGATTAATCGGACCTGGTTTGAGCTCACAGACACATTGCAGATTTAGATAATACATGATGTCGTCCTTCTCTCTTTGGGGGGTGACGTTAGATGTGGCAACTCGAGATACCCCAGAAGTTCAAAAGGACATCTAGCAACAAATCTTAAACTTAACAATATGGCACTGTGTTGCAGAATAGATCCAATACAATCTTCCTGCCACACCCACTGTGCTTATTTATTTCTCTTTATAGGAGGCATACTGTGAATACTTAAGAAGTATCAACTACATCTCCCACGCTCTGCTTGAAGATGCCGAATCTAAACGTAAGTTATTCACACTTCAAAACTGCGTTATGAGAGTTCATAAATGTACTACAATTACACATCCAACTCTTCTATTCAAAAGTGATGAGAGTTTAGGCTTCAATTGTCATTTCACAATACATTTTATTTCCTCTATGACAGTCATTGTCATGTGCTGTGACCCGGCTTCCTACTTCAAGAGAGAACAGGAGGACTTTAAAGGAAGAGATTTTATGTGTCACACAATGTTATGTGCTTCATCATCATGACATCAGTGAATTTGATTGACAAGACACACAGTCCTTTTTGTGGGTTAAAATGTACTGTATCTTAACTCGTGTGGAAAAGATTGTAAATGATTCCTAAAGCTCTATTGTTCATGATTAGCTTTTCAGGCTCATGCAAAGTTAACCTGGTTGTTTAAGGCCAGTTCACACCGCACCAACAGGAATCTGTTGTTTTCGCCAAGTGAACATGCTGAATCGTTATTTGAATGTCTGAGAAGTTACGTGCTGTAATCTGGTGACTGTCGGCATTGGTCTGCGTCTGTTGGTGCAGTGCGAAATGACTGTTAGAACTTCAGACCTTTAAATTGTACCTTTAAAGTGCTGTTTTTATGTTCTGGATGAGCAAAATGAAATATAAATTATGCACCTCCTCTTGCAGTCGAAGGAGAGATGGAGTCGGTGGAATTAGAGAAGATGGTGAAACTGGTTGAGCAATGTTTGGAGAGGGTCAAATCATGTATAATAAGGAAGCGAGAGTCCCCTGCACCTGCCACCTCCTCCACCTCTCTGTCCGATCCCAAACAGACCACCATTCCAGCTATTAATGCATTAAGTGATCTCAAAATATCAGGTGAGCCTATTTTTCCTGGTTTTCAACCAGGAGGTCCCTGAAGTTGCAACTTCTAATTTATTTAACATATAGACATTTATTTAAAAAATATTGTTTTTAAAAGTTTAGAATAATGTAGTCTCTTATGCTTACCAAGGCTGCATTTATTTGATCAAAAATACAGTTAAAAATGTAATATTGTATTATTACAACCTGAAATAACTGTTTTGTAATTTAATATACACTACCGTTTAAAAGTTTGGGGTCGGTACGATTTTAAATACTTTTAAAAGAATTCTCTTCTGCTAACCATGGCAGCGCTTATTTGATTAAAAATACAACAAAAATCAGTTATAGTATTAAATATTATTCCAGTGTAAATCAGCTGTTTTCTGTGTGAACATATAGTAAAGTGTAATTTATTCCTGTGATCAAAGCTGAATTTTCAGCATCACCAGTGTCAGTGTCTTCAGTGTCAAATGATCCTTCACAAATCAGTATAATATGAGGATTTGATGCTCAAGAAACATTTATTATTATTATCAATGTTGAAACAGTTGTTGGTCTGTCAGTTGTACAGTTTTTTTTTTTTTTTAGGATTCTTTGATGAATAGGAAGTTCAAAAGAACAGCATTTGTTTGAAATAGAATCTTTTGTAACATTATAAATGTCTTTACTGTCCTTGATAAATAAAAGTATTGATTTCTTTCCTCCAAAAAATAAAAATAAAATTCTCACTGACCCCAAACTTCTGAACGGTAGTGTATTTAAAAATGTCATTTAATCCTGTGATAGCAGCTTTAGTCTTCAGTGTCACATGATCCTTCAGAAATCATTCTAATATGCTGATTTGACACTTATCATCAATGTTGGACACTGAATACTGGAGTAATGATGACTAATAAGACTAAAGTATATTGAATTGCTGTTTGTTTTTTTCTGTATTTTTGATCAAATAAATGCAGGCTTGATGAGCATAAGAGACTTCTTTTAAAAACAGTAATGTTTCCAAACTTTTGACTGGCACTGTATATATATATATATATACCTAATATTCCAAACTCCTCTCTTTGTAGAAATGCCTAATGAGCCGGCATTGGTTTCTGTGACACAAAGTAAGCAACAGCCCAGCAGACATCGCAGAGTCCTCTCTGAGGGAGGGGTGGCAGGCTCCCCCTTTCTGCCACCTGAAGTCTTCCAAAAGTTTCAGACAGTTGAGTCACAAGACAACCGAAAGTGAGTCAGTAATCCATTGACATTTTCATAAGCACTGTATACATACCAGCAGAATGTGTAGGAACTTATGTAACGATGGGTACATAGTCCCAATATCCATTGATCGTTGAGTTCACATCTTGTTCCCAAAGATATATTATGACATCTAATACATTCAAGATAACAAACAAAAACAAGATATACGTAACACTGAAACATGCATATGCATTAGTATTATATAACATTATAAATAGTGTTAATATAAAAATAATTCTCACCACATCATAGCTCTACATTTAATAATAGAGTAAATCCCATGATTTACTCACCCTCAAGCCATCCTAGGTTTATATGACATTCTTCTTTCAGACGAATACAATCGGAGATATATATGAAAATATCCTTGCTCTTCCAAGCTTTATAATGGCATTGAATCGCGGTTTCTGTTTTGAGGTCCATCAAAGTGCATCCATCCATGATAAAAGTGCTCCACTCGGCACCGGGTGGTTAATAAAGGCCTTCTGAAGTGAAGCAAAGCGTTCGTGTAGGAAAAATATCCATATTTAAAAAACTTTATCGACTAAAATAACTAGCTTGCGGCAGATGGCTGTACGCATCGACTTCGGCCATTTCGGAGTACTTCGGAGCACTTTTATCATGGATGGATGCGCTTTGATGGACTTTTATGACAAAAAATATACGGCCATTCCCTGCCATTATAAAGCTTGGAAGAGCCAGGACATTTTTTAATATAATTCCGATTCTATTCGTCTGAAAGAAGAATGTCATATATACCTAGGATGACTTTAGGGTGAGTAAATCATTGGCTAATTTTCATTTTTGGGTGAATTAGCCGTTTAAGAAACCAATAATTGTTTTTATTCTGGATGATGCCTCTGTAAGAGAAAGAGCCCAAGACATAAACTTGAAGCTTTTCCTTAATATCTAAATTATTATTATAAGTAATAAATTACAAAAGAGTATGATAATTTTTATCTGCTATCCACAACATTTAATATTAGGTTGTTCATCACTGTTATTTTTTTAAATCATGGTTCACATTAGTTATGTGCACTTCCTGTGGCCCCAAGCCCCAACAATTGATCTTTCAAGGTTATCAGTTCTGTGATAGAGAACAAATCTATTCTGCATCCATATAAAGGAAGTCCATAGTACATCACGTTCTTTTAGTCTCACTAAGAGCTGCCACTAATGCACAGAATGTTCACAATAAGAAGTTTTTGTATGTGTATGACAGGGAATTAACGCCTATTGAAGAAGCGTCGCGTCTGAACCAGAAACTTAAGGCTAATTATGAAGCACGACTGGCAAGACTTACCCCTGGTCAGGCCACACAAAAAACCTCATTGGTAAGTCTAGAAAAATTCAATGTGAGATTGTATTTAAAAAATAAAATAAATCTTAGGAAAATGACTATAAAAAAAATACTGTGCTTGTGTATGCTCTACTCTAGCAAATTAATAAATAAACACATATATGTATACATACATACAGAAGCCCTAAAATAAAGTGCCTTAGTGCCTTCTTGAGTCTGTTTCTTTCATTCTGCTGTATTTTTTTAATATATATATATTTTTTTTTTGGTAAATATTTATATTCATATTTTTTGTTTGTATTTTTCACCACCATTATACATATCTAAACAAATTATGAAGAAAAAGGGAATTGGAAAAAAAAAACTTTTAAAAAAAGATAAAATGATGGATAAAATGATGAATGAAAAAAAAAAAAAAAATGATGAATGAAATAAACCCAGGAAGGCAAGGAAAAAATGTTCCACCCTGTGATTTGTCCAACCTTGTGGTTCAACGCATTCATAATATATAAAATTGCTTATGTGGGGAAAAACTATAAATGGTAACCCTTTACAAAAAGGTTCATTTGTTAACATTAGTTAACTACCTTTGTTAACATGAACTAAGAATGAACAATACTTCTACAGCATTTATTAATATTACTTAATATCAATTTCAACATTTACAAAATGCATTATTAAAATCAAAGGTTGTATTTGTTATCATTAGTTAATGCACTTTGAACAAACAATGAGCAGCTGGATTTTTATTAACAAACATTTACAAAGATGAATAAATACTGTAACAAATGTATTGCTCATTGTTAGTTCATGTTAGTTAATACATTAACTAATGTTAACTAATTAACCTTATTGTAAAGTGTTACCCAATAAACTTATTCTTTGACCTTATTTCGGATGATTACGCACCATGGCTTTATTGTGCGCATGCGTATAACACATCTGACGCCACACCTCTTGTTTTAAATGGCTTTGCGCGATTCACTGAGTTCACATGTCCATGTGCTGTTGCTGTGACGCCTGCAGTGAGTGTGGGATCCAGTCAGGTGTTCAGGGCGACGGATTGGCCGCACTCAGACAAAGACAATTCATATAATTTGCGGTCGCTATCGTAGTTTTAATTAGCAATAGCGCAGTTAGTTGCACGGTAAGTTCTTTCGTATAAGTTTTGGTGGCGGGTCAAACACACTTTTATGTTGTTCGGCGGAACGCAAATATTGTGTGCTGTCCAGTTTTCAAGAATGATCCGGAGACACAGAGAAACACCAATGGATCTTCGTTTATACTGGAAAAAACTCAAGACATTCTGGAAGGTTCGTTTTGACACTATTTATTTATTTAACGTTACGTGGCGAGAGAAAAAAGGTAACTGGTTCTGTTCAAAATAAGCGGATTGCATATTAAATCCTTTAATGGTTTGGAGGGAAAACCGTATGCGTATTTGGTATGCAAGTGACGTTATGCTAAAACCTGAATCTTTGCCGTATGAACATCCAGTGCGTAAAATGACATTTTAAAATAATATTGTAAAGTTGGGTAACGTTACCACCTTAAAATAAGGTTTCATTAGTTAACTACAGTAGTCAATCTTTGTTAATGTACTAAGTACATTATTAAAAGCAAAAGTTGTATGTTAACATTAATGCACTGTGAAGTAATAAGAACAAACAATGAACAGCTGTAATAAAAAAAAAGTTAGTTCATGTTTGTTTAAACATTAATTAATGCTAGCAAATGAGACCTTACTGTAAATTGTTACTGAAAGTTGACATGTCATGCTGTGACATGATCCATCTAAAAAAAAATTAACTGACTGTATTTAAGTCTGCTTTTAAAAGTTCATTATTGATTTACTTCATTAGTTTACTTGGCAATACTTTTTGTATTTTTGAAAGTTAATTTGGCAAAAAATCTATTGGGTAAAAGTGTGATTTACAAATGGGTACGACCTGTTGACCAGTTACAGGACAGAAATAGTTTAGTTCTTGTTAAAGAGTTAGTTCACCCAAAAATGAAAATTATGTCATTAATGACTCACCCTCATGTCGTCCCAAGCCCGTAAGACCTCCGTTCATCTTTGGAACACAGTTTAAGATATTTTAGATTTAGTCCGAGAGCTTTCTGTCCCTCCATTGGAAATGTATGTACGGTATACTGTCCTTGTCCAGAAAGGAAATAAAGGCATCATCAAAGTAGTCCATGTGACATCAGTGGGTTAGTTAGAATGTTTTGAAGCATCGAAAATACATTTTGGTCCAAAAATAACAAAAACTACGACTTTATTCAGCATTGTATTGTCTTCCGGTTCTGTTGTCGAGCCGTGTTCAGTGACGCTGATGACGTAAGACGCTGCTGACGTGTTATCTGGTGCGCCCGAGCTTCGTTTACAGTCTGAGGGAGACGCACGCTGTAAACAAAACAATCTTCGCAAACATGTCTAAGGATTTCGACACAGAGGAAGGCTTGCATTTTTTTCCCCAGCCATATTTATTTGAACCCGAATACATGGACACATCAGATACACGTCAGCAGCGTCATTACGTCATCAGCGTCACTGAACGCGGATTGACAACAGAACCGGAAGACAATACAATGCTGAATAAAGTTGTAGTTTGTTATTTTGGGACCAAAATGTAGTTTCGATGCTTCAAAACATTCTAACTAACCCACTGATGTCACATGGACTACTTTGATGTCTTTATTTCCTTTCTGGACAAGGACAGTATACCGTACATACATTTTCAATGGAGGGACAGAAAGCTCTCGGACTAAATCTAAAATATCTTAAACTGTGTTCCGAAGATGAACGGAGGTCTTACGGGCTTGGAACGACATGAGGGTGAGTCATTAATGACATAATTTTCATTTTTGGGTGAACTAACCCTTTAATAGCTATGGTAGAGGTCCCTTCAAACTGAATGATCAGTGTTTGCTGTGAGTATTTTAACTCAAATCTGTTAAATCTGCAGGGATGCCGCACTATATGCATGCACTATAGTCATGTAACGTTCCTCAACTTTTCTTCTACTAATGAGTAAATGTCAATAATCAAAGTTCAAACTGAAATAAATACTTGTATAATGATGATCTTTATTTCTTTTCTTAATACAGACTCTCTCACTTCAGAGGCAAATGATGGAGAATCTAATAATAGCCAAAGCAAGACAAGATGCAGTATCCTTTATGGTTTCCTGGGCTGTGGCTTTTATTAAAGTCACCATGAATTCAAAATTGACAATTCTTTGTCATTAATTTCTCACCCTCATGTCGTTCCAAACCCGTAAGACTTTCGTTCATCTTCAGAAAAAAATGAAGATCTTCTTGATGAAATCCGAGAGCTTTCTGTCCCTCCATTGACAGCTACGCAACTTTGTGTGGTTTAGTCCAAATTTTCTAAAGAGACAACTGTTTTATATGATGAATAGATTGAATTTAGCCTTTTATTCGCATAAAAACATTGATCAACTCACACATCAGTTGTGGTAAACGGAAGCTCAAGCAGGTTCGTTTGACGTGCGAGAACCAATGAGGTTCATTCTCGTGTGTCAGCGAACATAAACCGAAGCTCGACTGAACTGGAAGCGAAAACATGCTGCATAATGAGGTTGAGTAATTAATGACAGAATTTTCATTTTTGGGTGACACATCCCTTTAATCAATGTGCTGTGAGCAAAGTTAGCTGCTTCTGATTTTTCAAACTGTTGGGAGTTTTCCTGAGCGCTTGCAGCTTCAAAGGAAAATGGAGGAGAGGAGACTCCGGCTGCAGGAAGAAGCCAACAGGTGAGCAGCTTTTGACCCATGGGCCAGATGGACATTCATAACGTTAAGTTGCACATGGAGTGTTATGAGTTTTGCATATTTTTCTTGCATTGTTGTGCATCACATATTACCTTAGAATGACAAAGTTATGTTAAGAATCTGAGCACCTTTAAGCCATTTAATGCTCAATGGTTTTCTAGAATTTTACTGTGTTAATTCGTGTGCATGAAATTGCATTTTTCCAGGAGGTTTGCAACCTGTGGGACCATTACACCTGAGGAACAAGAGCAGCGAGTTCTGTATGCAAGTGTGCTTGAATATGAGCATGATCATGTAAGTATATTTATATTGCAGCATTGATTTTAGACTTTTTATGTATCTTTGTGCATCTGTTAATTGAACTAGTAAACCTACACTAATGTTTGTTTTTGTAAGAAGTCTCTTATACTCAGCAAGGCTGCATTTACACAGTAAAAACATTAAATGTAAAATATTTTTACAATTTAAAATAACTGTTTTCTATTTTAATATATTTTAAAATGTAATTTATTCCTGTGATGACCAAGAAAAAATTTCAGCAGCCATCACGCCAGTCTTCAGTCTCACGTGATCCTTTATTTATGCTGATTTGGTGCTCAAGAAATGTTTATATAGGTAATAATGGGAAGTTAGTCAAAGAACGGCATCCTTGCCGACCCCAAATTTTGACATCTCTTCTTAATTATGTATAAATAATGGTTTCATTGGTTTAATCATAGGAATGGCCAAAAATTTGGAAAGCTAATCTGAAAATGAATCCAAATGATCCGACACTGGTTATAGGTCTTATCTCCTGTCTTCTCAGGTAGGTTCGTGGTGTCAGATCATCTGTAAAAATGAATGAGTGTTTCTTCTGTATCTAATGTCACCTGTTTTTGTCATTCTTGATCCCAGCTACCCAGATCACCCAGTCATGAAGTTGCTGAAGAAGCTTCAGTATCGTGTGTATAACAGACTGTATCCCATAGTGAGCCAGTGTGTTCCTCTGGACACAGTGCCTGGTTGCTCACTACCCTTAAAGCCATCCCGCAGCGCCCAGAGCCTGCTCCTGTTCGACAGTCATATCTCTCCGCAGCAGCAGCAGAGCCCACTCAAATCTGCTCTGACACACAGCTTATCTGATGCCTCCATCTCCCTTTCCCCATCCCACGACCTCAACTCAAGCGACACTAAGTCCGAAACCGAACCGCACGAGTCATCAACTCTGATCTCCACAGATAGGGAGAACTCTTTTGAGGATCTGGAGAAGTTTCTTACTCAGCTGGACTGGGTTCCTTCTCACAGTGGAGATGATATCGACTCTGATGTGACCTTTGACACAACACACATGGACCTAGAGTCTCACATTCATGATCTTGAGGAGCGTGCTCTGAAGGGACATTTGAAGGCCATTGTCAAAGATATTCACAATGCTATCGGTAAATAAATGTTTGTTTGTTGTGTGACAGACCTTAGTTGTGACTCTAGAAATGTGCAACATGTGAGTTCAGCATTCATGGAAATCCCCTGTTCTAGCCAGTGGGATCTGTGGGGTTGTATCATGTCAGGGTGTAAACAACGCCAGAGTGCCATAATCCACCATAAACGTGTTTGTCAAAGGTCCTTTTATGAAATGTACTAGTTGGCTGATTCTCTATGGTAAATGGATTTGTCTTTGTGTGAAACAGATCGCCTGCTGTCTCTGTGTCTTCTGTCTTTTGAATGTCTCAACACTGCCATCTCTAAGGACCAATGTGTGGCCAGCATAGAAGAAGTCTTCTTCACCCCTATTTGGCGCCCTCTATTGGCACTCTTTAGGTAGGTCACAAATTAAGTGTTTTTCACAAATGATACCACCTTTCAAAAGTTTGGGGTTGTGTGAGCGCTCACATCAAAGTTATGTCAAAATGCCCGTCTTGACGAGTATCAGTTAACGGTTCCCACGGATCCTTAAAGTCTTAAATTAGATTTTTAAAATTTAAGCCATAGTCTTATTTTTACTCATGAGAGGTCTTAAATTTCGGATGCCATTTTGACTTGGACGTATCTGAATGCTTTACCAAATTAAAACAATCTAATTGGTGTACATGTTGTTTTTTTATTATTCTATTTTTGTGGATTTACTTGTTCACGTGACAATTCGCGTCATTTACGGCAGCATTACGTCTGTCTCCTGAACGCAAAACAGGAGGAGAGGAGGAGAAAATGGGTAATAGTCAGTTCAATTGTAAGTTCATTCTTTATGTGCTTAAAGGTGTGCGATATGTATTGTCTATGATGATATTGTAATTATAGTTTTAACGATGTACGAGTCACTGTGAGCTGACATTGCATTTGTCACACGTGCTTTCACTGCGTGATGTGTGCAGTTATAGGTATGTCCCCAAATGAGTTTTTGTCTTGTTCATTTCATATTATGTAGTTATATTACAATATCACATAAGCAAGAGTGCCGTTTTCCCCAGCACAATTTCAAATGTGAAATTTATTGCATACAACAGTTAAATGAACAGTAAGTTAAAATTGTGAGTTACATTTTAGACAGAATATTGTTCATTTTTCCTTTATTTCGCTGACGAAAATTTCAAAATGAAACCGTAGCAGAGTCTCCATGCAACAGACAGCAATGATATTTTTTCGCGTTTTGAACGAAACAGCTTAATTAATGATTCAATGGCCCATCACTTGCTGCTTTCCTGAATGAATCAGCCATTTGAATGATTGACTCCCTCAACAGGGACTTTCTGCCACCTACTGGCGGTTTTACGTTTTAGTTTCATATTTAAAATACCCTTTAATTAAAAAGTTCAAATTAGAAATAATTTCATATTTAAATATTGAATTAAAAAAAATCTCATAGCATTATGCAGTTGTAAATATAATATTAATGCCGCTTTTGAGATGGATTTCAAAGATGGATTTTGTTGATAATGATTTCATTTGACTGGTAACAGCCCTATACTGTTATTATTCTAATATAATTTAATTTGAATGTTAGAATTTTACATAAAAGGTGAATGCCCCTGGAAATCAAATTAAGGTGGCAAATATTGCCCCTTAATAATTTTTTTTAATTTATGTCACTGCTGTGAACTGACCACCACATAGAATGAATATCTTCGTGAGTCAGCTGTCAACAACAGGCCTAAACCAGCCATGGTACCAGCACAAAAACGCATTATAATCAACAAAACTTTGGAAAATCGCAATACATTTTTTTTGGTCAATGTTGCACACCCCTAATGTACAGTATTCATTTTTATTTTTTCAGGTCTTAAAAAGCCTTAAATTTGACTTTAAAAAATGTGCAGAAACCCTCGTTAAACACAGTCAGTTTTGGAACCTAATTAGTAGAGCAAGATAACATTTAACAGTATATTGGATCCGTGCATACGCTTTTAAAGTGACAGCAGCCTAATATTCCTGCTGCTGTCTGTCATATTAATACAAGAACAAAAGACAAAAAAAATCACTCGGGTCTTTACTGAATAACTTTTGTAACTAATTGTAAGCATTAATCTGTATTTAATTAAAAAATATCATTATTTTACATTTTACTTTTAATTTCTGTTGTATTTCTTACCTGAATATACTGTATACCCACCTGAAAACTTAAAGCCGTGTTTATTTCATATCTCTCTTTATTCTATTTCATTTATTTTTGCTGTTGTTTGGAACAAATAAACAAATTCCAAACAACAGCAAAAATAAATGAAATAGAATAAAGAGAGATATGAAATAAACACGGCTTTAAGTTATTTCATTTATTTTTGCTGTTGTTTGGAACAAATAAACAAATTCCAAACAACAGCACAAATAAATGAAATGGAATAAAGAGAGATGCATTGAAGAAAAGTCGATTTTTTTTTTTGTATATGCTGTCAATTATAGTTCTTTGAAAGAAAACCGAAATCAGCAAAAATTGGTATCGGCAGGTCACACTTGCAAGAAAAATCGGAATCTGCCAAGAAAATTGCAATCGTTGCATCTCTAGGTTAAAGTTAGGGTGCAGTTGGACTTTCTAGAGCTGCGTTTAAGTCCTTTTTTATGCCCTTCCCTCGCAAACTTGTCTCTGTCACTCAGATGTACATCATTGCTTACGTTTCATGAGTGCCCACTGCTGACGTAACCCTTGCAACGCGTTTAAATGCAACACCCTAAAAAGCCCTTGATCACTGGAATCCAAAATGGAGCTGATTTATTATTTACAGTTTTTTTTTTTTTTTTATGAATTTCTTTTGCATCCTTCTATAGGCCTTTATGTAAACGTGGGCTGTTGGAGAAAGTATACAAAATTACACAAATGAAAATGATAACCATACAATAAACTATAACTGTAAAAAAAAAAAAAGCAAAAAAAAAAAGCAACCAGCTTAAGGTAGGTACAAGACAAGTATTATGCAGTTAAATGTCAAAATAACGCCAATACCATACAGTAGAGTTGTGTGGGTTCAGGGTAAATTAAGCTCGGATCCGCTGTGACATCACTATGCTTTGCATAGTGGTCTATGGATTTGCCTGAAGTGTTCATATTTAGTAGATTCGCTCCCTCGGTCAAAATCGAGGGGTCGAGGCTCTGTCCAAGTAAACTTTCCTACCCACTTCAAAATGGCAGCGGGAATTCCCCGAGAGGAAGTGCTTAGGGAAGTTTGCGAGTGTATATCTAAAAGTGGAGTTAAACACAGCCTAGCTCCACCGATTAGGTTCAGAGAGACGTCAAGCTCCACTCACTGGCTCTGCAGTGGGCAGCCTTTCCTTTGGGTGGCAGAGATTGCAGAGTCATTCCATGATTTATCTAGATATTGAGCAGTAGATGGCACTGCTTGTCAATTTGTATCTTATACATTTGTTCTTTAGTTACAGCATGGCTGAAAATGCCATTTTCCCTTACAACTGCTCCCAAAAAAGCATTTAGTCAAAACACTTTAATAGCTGCTTTATGGTTTAGTTAAATTACATATTATTTTATGTGTTTCTTTTGACTCTTTAGGGAAGTGAATCAAGAACGGGAGCTGGCTGTTGAGAACAGCATGCGTCTTCATCGTAATGTTTCACCTGGTGATCTTGGTGTAGCATCCAAATTGTTCCCTAGAGACACCGCTGTGCTGCACGGTTCCTACCCATATGAGTCGGCAGTACAGGAGTTGAAGCTTTTGTGTAGAGACTATTGTCCTCAAAAGAAACTTGAATGTATTGGTAAGATCTCTGAGATGCTTAAAATGAAACCATAAACCCTTTCTGTGTGTTCTGCTGTGTCATTTCAATGCCTAAACAGAATTAAAAAAATAAAAATTTCAAATGTGTTTAACAAACACTCTCCCCATCTGCTCTGACAGACAGATAGTCCCACCCTTTTTTTTAGAAGAAGAAATTAGACTACAGATTTCTGGCTTCTAGCTATCTCTGTATGTTAAGGTGGGATAGGAGAAAAAATTTTAACGTAATGAGATGAATAGTCAAAATGTCATAATTTCTACATCTTATATTTGACTTTTTATCTCATCATTTTCACTCTTTCATAAATATGTCTTGGTATGTAATAATTTTGACTTCATCTTATAATTGACATGGCATAATTTTGACTTGAATGTAAAGAGTTACATAGACATTGAGAAGAAAAATCTAAATGTCATAATTTCTACATCTTATTTTTGACTTTATCTCATAATTTTGACTATTCATCTCAAATTACTTGGTATGTCATAATTTTGACAAAATTTAAAGTCAAAATTTACATGAACATTAATGAGATGAATAGTCAATGTCATAATTTCTACATCTTATATTTGACTTTTATTTAGACTATTCAGTTTATATGATTTGGTATGTCATAATTTTGACTTCATCATAAATAACTTAATGTCATAAACAAAATAAAAAATAAAAATTATTTCAGTCGAATTAGTCATAATTTTGAAGTTGAGTCATAGTTGACAGTCAAAATCGAGATGTCTTAATTTGACTCATGTTATGATTGACTTTTTAAAATCAATTATAAGAAATAAAAATGGTCATACACTCATAATTATGACTCATTTTGTAATTTCGACTTATGACACTCAAAGTTGATTTACCAAAGCTGTTTTTTTTTTGTGCCAGAAATGGGCTTTCATACTTTTGTTCTTAAATTGTACATGTTTTACACATCATTTATGTAATATAAAGTATATTTCTACACCTAAAGGGTGCATTTTAATGCTAACATGTACCCTTATGGTATTGATATGCTCCATTTAGGTACAATACCAGTATTTTTCTGACTGCAGTTGTTTTTCATTGCAGTGAGAACTTTACGAATGATCTGTGGCTGTGCTGAAGAGTACCGCCTCCTGCAAGAAAACGACCCTCAACCCAAATCAGCAGCAATGTGAGTATACACAAGGTTGTAACATGTTGTGTTGTTGTGACGCTTTGTCCCTTTCGCTGTCCTTTAAAAAAAAAAAAAAAGACGACAAACAATCAAAAAGCAACTTTATTATGTTGGAGTTCAGAGTTGTTTAAACACAATCTACTGCTTGTCAGCTGGCCTTGTGTCAGACTTCATCAGACCTCATGGAGGCCAAAGCTCAGCAGGGGTCCCGTCTTGACCCTCTGGCCCCCGCGGGGCGCTCGGAGCTGACTTCCTCTCTAAGTGGGTCGCCCTGTCTGGAGCAGACTTTGGCCTTGATGCACTTTGAGAGTCTGAATGTAGAACTGCTTAGGTCAAGTAAAATTGATTGTTATTCTAACAAAAAGGAGCTTTTTCTTTTGCAGATAGATACTTGTGGGCTCTGTGTATGTTCTAATGTGATGCTAGTTCATTAGATGTTCACACAGCTCCTGGCAAATAAATTGACGCCGCCGAGATTACACTGTCGCCTCTTCTTACTTGAAAAGTCTTGAATTCTGGTTTCACAGCATGAAACGGGTGTGTTCAACCAGAGTAATATCATCCTGATGACACACATTTTCTTGAATGTGTGTATTTATTCAGGTTGATCAGAGTGAGTGTACTTCCCACAGACCTCAGCGTCTGCTCCACTCTTTTGAAAAACATCTTAAATTTATTCCCGTCTCTCGACAGTTAAAGTGTGAGCTCACGCCAGCATCCTGCATAGGAGAAAACTGTACTGGGAAGTTATGTGGGCCGTTATGATGTTTGTAACCTCTCTGCCCCGCCACACCCATTTAAAAAAAAAAAGATGCCTGTTCATCTGTCTCTTGCTTGCTTTCTACTAGGAAATGTGGGTAGAATGAACACTTGCGTCATATCTACATGTGTCTCTTTGCATCACAGCTTGCCGAGCAGAGGCTCGCTGGTGACGCACATGCTCAGCGGTTTGGCACCCCATGACAATGACTGATGTAGATGCTTGTTTTTAGAGCACTGTCTGCATCTCTTATACAATGACATCCAGTTTTGTTTTTCTATTAAGGATGAACATTTAGCTCATGTGTAATTTGTAGAAAATGTAGCAAATGGTGCAGATTCTGTTATACAATTTATACTGTGCAATATATCCGTGGTGGCTAAAAAAAAATTAAATCATGCACAACACAGAAAGTGTTGCATGCAGACACTGTTTGTCTCGTATAGATGGGGTGTAGGCTTTGTATAGACCATAAATGTATATAATTTCTATAACAAAAATGTAAATATTAAATTAATAATTGTTACATTTATAGTTATATTATTTTTATGTATTTGTTATTTTCTGTTTTATAGGTATTTGAATATATATTGTATATTGTATAACATTTTTATAATAATAATAATTTAAATGTTACATTTATAGTTATTTTTTATATACCGGTAACTGTTATTTTTCTGTTTTATAGGTATTTGAATATTTATTTGATATTATTTTTTTATTTTCTGTTGATATTTAAAATTGAAAAAATATTACACATCTTTATATTTAAAGGATTATTTAAAGGATTTGTTTATTTTTTTGAACGACTATTGTTTATAATTGTGATTTTGGTCACACTACCCACCCCTGATATTCGTATGTTTGTTTGTTCTTACCAGAACAATGGACCGTTGCTTTCTGAACCCAAAGGCTTTGGTTCTTAAGCATTATTCGGGTCTTTTCCATTCTGTGATTGAACATTGGTTTAATAATGATTATGCTATAAGGCATCTCCGATTCGTTTGGAAGTGTGTCATTGTGAGACTTGCCCTGATTTTGCCCCGGTAGCACAGCCAAGGCGCATTCTGCCTTTGTTTTGCTTTTAAGTTTGTTTGGTTGTGAGGGAGAATGAATGTCCTCATGCATGCATGCATGAACACGAACAATTTAGCCATTCTCACTATTTTTTCGATTGTTTTGTTCTATTGTCTCTCCTTGCTCACTCATTATTTCTTCTCCTTTCTGGATTACATTCACTCACACTTGAATTTATATTGCTGTTTCCTTCTGCACATCAGTCATTTCCTCTGTCTATCCTTTTGTCTTGCTTTGTCTTTTAAGGACAAGAGGGGGCATATTGGTATTCATTACATCTTTCATGCAGTTCATGCTTTCAATAGCCCCTATATTTTGGTTTTGCATTTATTCTGAAGTTCGCATCACCAAACTCTTCAACTGTTCATCATATGCTCAGATCGTGCCATAATTTAACAAACAGGCTTAAACAAGAAAATGGCTGTGTCATCCCAGCACACCTTTTTGGTGCATGAGCGTTCTTTTGATTGCTGCAGAACCAATGTTGAAACGGATGGTATGTAGAGCTATTCTCACCTGTATAAAACGTATCGGGTGTCCTGCAGTCCGGCAGGAAAGGAGACACCCAGCTACTTTCTCACGCAAGTGTCCCTTCATCACATGAATCATGGGGTTTCTGTGTTCTGTTAATGTCCTTTATGAGAATAGTTTATCCTGCAAAGAAATGTCATTGGATTTGTTTGTTTACTACTTCATGTCTTGTTAATTTCTTCCATTTTGTCTCTCTCAGAGGTGCCGATGACCTATTGCCCATCCTGGCGTTCGTGGCATTACGCAGTGAAACGCCTCAGCTGGTGTCTGAATGTGCTGCGTTGGAAGAGTTCATCCACGAGGGGTGCGTCCTCAATATCGAATGCCATATAATTTAACTGTTCTCCACAAAGTAACAGTATTCATGAATTAAAAATGAACATAGATTGCTGTGCCACAAGAAATTGTGTAGAATGGAGAGGAAAAGTTTATATATATATAAACACACTAGGGGTGGAACGGTACACAGAAGTCACGGTTCGGTTCATACCTCGGTTCAGACATCACGGTTCGGTACGATTTCGGTACAATGGAGGGAAAAGCAAAACAAAAATGCAGAAGGCATTGTATTTTTTAAATAAGTTTTTTTAATAAAGGCATAGAACCAGTTTATTTGTAGTGCACTGACAATAGTTTTATATAATTAGTTTATTAATTAAATTAATAAAAAGACAAAAAGACCTTGCGATATGTTTGGTAATTGTACCTGAATTAATTTAAAATTATTTTGCTATATTTCAGATCAATATATTTGTTTTCCTTAATTTTAATTAACATTATTAATTGACAATGTAACATTATTCACTTCTGAATTATAAATATTTGATTTCTGTATAAAATAATACTACCATTAAAAACACATTCGATTTTCTTTTTTTAAAAGGACAAGAAATTAAAACCAATGCAATATGACGTGGGTGTGTGTGATTTTGGTTGGGTGACAGTTGTAGGTTACAGTTTGACAAGAGTTTACAGTGTGACAAAAGCACAATGTTGTGTTTTATTGCGAGTGTACACAAATATAAGTAAACACTTTGCAGGTTTAATGATCTGAACAAAATGACGGAGTATGTTTTTTATGTTTCCACTGTTCGTTCTCTCTCTCTCTCTCTCTCTCTCTCTCTCTCTCTCTCTCTCTCTCTCACTCTCTCACTCTCTCACTCTCTCACTCTCTCACTCTCTCACTCTCTCACTCTCTCACTCTCTCACTCTCTCACTCTCTCTCTCACACACACACACACACACAGTTCGATCGCGCCCGCGCGCCTATCTCTCTCTCTCTCTCTCTCTCTCTCTCTCTCTCTCTCTCTCGCATACACACACACACTCCAGCATTGCAATCTTGACATCGCTGCCTGTTCATTATGCGGTCACGGTCACACCAAACGCGAATAGAGCGTCAAATTCGCGTCTAGTTCGATGCTAGTCCAAAGCGAATAGGACGCGCGTATAAAGCCAACGTTTGAAGTGAACGCGCATTCAGAGCTAAGCCGATGGTACAGATTATGTGTCCCTAAAGAACCCGCGTATCTGACAGTAGTTTTGCATTACATTAATTAATTTGCACGCGAGTTTTATTTATTTTTATACCGTGTATTCTCCGTGTAAATTCGTGCACCGAACTGTGACGCCCGTACCGTTTCAGTTCGATACGAATACATGTACCGTTCCACCCCTAATACACACACATATACATATATACATACATACGTACATATACATATACACATACACATACATGCATGCATACATGCATACATACATACATACACATATACATGCATGCATCAATGAAGATCAATGGCAAGTAACCACAGAAGTGTCAACAAGGACACACTTTATATATACACTACTGTTCAAAAGTTTTTGAAAAATCTCTAATGCTCACCAAAGTCCTGACTCTGTGGTCACAAAAAATCCCAGGATGTCTTTCGAAAGAGTAGGGGTGTAACCCCGGCATCCTGGCCAAATTTGCCCAGTGGCCTCTGTCCATCATGGCCTCCTAATCATCCCCATGTATATATATACCAATTGGCTTCATCACTCTGTCTCCTCTCCACCAGTAAGCTGGTGTGTGGTGGGCGTTCTGGCGCAATATGGCTGCCGTCGCATCATCCAGGTGGATGCTGCACATTGGTGGTGGTTGAGGAGATTCCCCCTTCTATGTGAAGCGCTTTTGAGTGTCCAGAAAAGCGCTATATAAATGTGATGAATTACTATTATTATTATTTAAGGTTGCATTTATTTGATCAAAAATATAGTAAAACAGTTTTTGTTATTACAAATAAAAGTAATGGACGTTTCGACCAAACGGTCGACCAATCGCTACAGACTGGGCCATCTGACCAATCAGAGCAGAGTAGCTCTTAAATTCAGGGCTTATAGTGAATGAATCTTCTAGAAGTCATTTTCAGACTCTTGAGGTAATGTGTAATGTATATTATGAGAAAATTAGGTTTACATGCATCAAAGGTCAAAAAACACTTTATTGTAGGAGACCTCCAAAACAAAATTAGGAACCTTTAAAATAGCATAATAGGTGCACTTTAAATCTACATTTACAGCCTGACTAAAAAATATTATGCAATAGAAAATGACAGTCTCCAAAACAGATTGTCAATCCGTCAAATTTTTGGCATCACTTGATGATGGTGGGATGACGCTGTTTGGAAATTTGCCAGTCTCTCTGTCCTTTATGCATGTATCGTGTCAACAGAACACGACCTCACTCGCTACCAATAATCGAAGTGTCATCTATTGCACAGTCTCAGATGTTTGCATAAATATTTCAGCTAGAAGAATACCCTCCAGTCTAAACATGTTGGAATAAACCCATCAAACATTACAGTTCTTTTTGGTAATATGAGTATATAAAAAAAATTATATTGAGCGATAGAAATCACAACTGTGAGATCTCAGTTTGTATAGGTGGCCGTTTGACCTGTTTCCTGAGTGGTGTTTTGGGGATTCATTGCACCCCTCCTGTGCTGTACTTTCGCGTGTCTACTCCGACCACAGCCCTGAGCTCTGTTTATCAGTATAAATTGGACATTTTTACAGGCTGGTTAGATTGGCACTTAACAAGGAATGTTGGGGATATTCTGGTTTGGGTTTTTCTCTCCCTATAAAAATACAAATAAAATATCTTCAGAAGTTTATGCTGCTCAGTGGCTTGGAACTGAGGGTGGAACTCTCTGCAGTGTGTGAGGGAAGTTGTGATAGGAAGTGTTCTCGTTCTCAGGCACAGTTAACAGGTTTCATTTAAATGGGTCTATATAAATGTGTCTAAGACTTAAAGGGATAGTTCACCAAAAAAAGGCCTATTATATGTAGTTCCAAAACTTTTTTTTTATACTGAATTGATCAAAAAGAGTGGGAATATTCCTTGTGAAGTCAATTGTTTTTGTTTTGTTTTTTACTTTATGGTTACTGAGAGAACAGAATAATCTGTCTCATACTTTCCGGCTTTCTCATTTTCTCCATCACTTTATATCCTCTCTTCGCATTCTCCAACATGCTGATTCTTGGCTTTAGCTTGATCTCGTGTCTTAGTCTCATTAGCAGACGGGTTCACTTGAAGTTGACCCCCAGTGGAAGAGATCTTGTTTTCCCTTGTGAGGAGAAGCGCTAATGAAGTGTTTATTTATGTCTACAGGTATCTGATTGGAGAGGAGGGGTACTGCCTGACGTCAATGCAGAGCGCACTGACCTATGTCGAGTCACTGTTCTTGGGTGGGGCTCCAACCCCAACTGCCAAACCCACCTGACGTAGGTAAAGCCAATTATATCATTTCAGGTTCATCCTATCTGGAAAAACTCCCGCATCTGTGTTCCAAAACCTAGTGAGCTGCCTATATAGGTAGATGCATTTAAGATCACCACCCTGATGGATTGATATTTTTTTTATTTAATTTGTTTTGTTTTTGTTTTTTTAACAAATTAATTCTTTTATTCAGCAAGAACACATTAAGTTGATCAAATGCAACAGCAAAGACATTACTTTGTAATGAAACAGTGTGCTTCCATATGTTACAACATCTCTAGATTGTCTACAATTTGCATATATCTCTGGGAATTATGCCAGACTTCTTTTTATTGACTTTAGCTCCGCTTTCAACTCAATTCAGCGTCTTCTGGTGATAAAGAAACTACAGAGTCTGCAAGTTTCATAATCTCTAATATATTGGATCCATAATTTTCTTTCTAATAGACCGCAAGTGGTAAAGGTGGACAATGCATCATCACCAACCATTGTTCTTAATACTGGCGCCCCCCAGGGGTGCGTACTCAGCCCATTTCTTTATATTCTATACACAAATGACTGTCAGAGTCCATTTACCACTACTCATTACTTTAAATATGCAGATGATACAGCCATTCTTACTCTGCTTAAGAAGGACAATGACCCTTTTTTGGACTATCAACATTCTACAGCACATTTTAGAAGGAACTTGTCTTTAGCTCCCCAAAAACACAGATTCATGCTTCTAGCATTACCATTAACAGAGAGAGATAGTTAAAAGGGTGGAGTATTTCAAATATCTCAGCATTACTTTGGATCAAAATCTCAACTTCAACCAGCACACTCTATTCGTAAACTTAGACACTTGTCTGTTCAGCCTCGTTGTCGTCTTTTGTATCGCAGTATTATTGAGCCAGTCCTTATTTAAGGTGCCATTTAGTTTTTTTCATATGCTAACAGTCACCAACAAGAACAAATTCTTAAAGATAACTTATTTAGCAAGTAAAATGATTGGTATCCTTACCCCTGATTTATTGGATAGTGTCTCTACATTCATGCTGCGAAAGGCAAAAAACATCCAAAACGACCCAGACCACCCACTCTATGAATATTTTATCCCCCTGCCTTTTGGCCGTAGGTATAGGTTACCGATGTGTAGAAAGGCCAGGTATAGTAAGTTTTGTTCCTGTGTCTATACAAGCTCTAAATGCATAGGAAATCGGTCATTGATACGTCATTTATGCTCTCTTTGTTGTTGTTTTGTGTGATGTCAGCTATTTGTTATGTACGCATCTACAGTGGAAACAAATTTCCTCTCGAAGACAAATAAAAATCTATCTATCTTAGATATGTATGCAAGTTGCAACAAAAAAAATATATTACTGAAGTAATAATTACTGAAAATTAACCTCTTCTGTCACAGGATTTAATTACATTTGAAAATATATAGTTAAAGGTACACTATGTAACTTGACCCTCTGACAGTTAAAAAAAAACTGCATACATTTTACAGAAGAATATTATTTTGGTTATGCTTCGGCTCTGCGTGACTGAGGATGAATATGACCCATCACGATAGATTATGCTCTCTGTTAGAGAGTTACATATTGAAATTTATCTGTTCAATAAATTACCTTGCTCACCTGAGTAATAAAAACACCATTTCACTTTCACAACATTTCAAATCTCTTAGTGTTCACTAGGGATGTGACGGTGAGGATATTTTCCCACCAGTTAATCGACGTGTGACAACACCGGTAATACCGGTATCACCGGCAGGGCCATTTAAATAGCTAATTTAAACTGAAAACTATGAAAGCCGTGTGACCGGCCAACCAGTAAAAAAAATATACATTAAAGAAATGATTCCCTCTGATCTTCAGTTTCATTAATAAAAGTTTGACTACTCGCAGCAGTCTCGCATGCGCTTTGAGCTCGTGTGAATTGCACGATCCATCAGGAGGTCGCTGAATTTCACTGCGCTTTATGAAGAGTTTTTCTTTTGCGTGAAGAAGCCGTTCGCCGGAGATGTGTTAAAGATAGCGGAGTGCATTCATGATTATTAGGCTAACGGTATAACAATCCTCCTGGCGCCGGGTCTGAGTGAGTAATTTACTCTCTAATCGTTCTTTGATTAACATAATAACACTTTAAGACCAGCCGCTGCTGACAGAGACGCGATCTGACACTCGTCCCATTTTCTCACAAATCTCTACGTTCATTTAAGACTTTATTTAAATCATTTAAGACTGATCTTATGAGGACACTCGACAAATCCAACATTTTGGCATAATTTGTGTGTTACGGTTTGTTCAAGCCCAAAAGACAACTCGATACTGACGCGCGTCTTTTCTATTTATTTGTGTGTGTGTGTGTAATAGGCAGGACTTACACAGCGTGGTCTCTTTAGTCTTAAAAGCATTCACATTAATACGAGCGTGATCATACAACGCTAGTCAACGGGTAACAGAAAAAAACGGATTCTGTGTAATTGCGTTAAATTATTATTATTTTTTTCGGTGCCGCGGTGGGCAAGTGATGAAACCGGTGTTGCGACTGAACACCGTGTAACACCGGTAACACTGACTACCGTAGCAAACCTAGTGTTCACCATCTCCCAAAAGCCAAGCCAATGTTGATCAATTACAAGCTCTGTTGCGTTCTTTTTGCCAGCAGACTGTCCTCTGTTTGACTTCTTTTTTTTTTCCGGCGATTCCCTGGAGGTTCGAGATTTAGCGTGCTCCATGTTAACCTTTCTCGCTCGTTGTAACAACTAACCTATGCCACTGCCACACCATACACGCGTCAAAGTAGCCAGAGCGGTAGGTGAGCGAAAGAGTATTTCAAAAACTTCTTTTTTTTTTTTAATACGGACCCCAAACATTTGAGCGTTTGTGTGTGGATGATGATGATGATAGTTTTATACATATATTTATTTTTTATTTCTTTGGGTTTATGCCTTTCAGATATTATCTTTCAGTTGAGTAAGAACTTTAAGTCATATGGTGGGTCGGGGAAAGATAAACTAAACCACTAATCCTACTCGACAATGTCAGTCCGCCTTATCCCACTTTATCCAAGCGTTTAACTTCGCAGAGCGCAATGTCTGTACAGCTGTCACTTGCACTATGGCGTCCCACATTGAAACGCGCTCTGTTGTCATCATCCACCACAGCTTAAATTAAACAATTGGAAGGGGAGGGATGGGCGGTTCCCCTGATCACAGGGTAATGCTGCTCTTTTACCTTGATGGATGGATTACATTGACCTTGCTGAACTTTCAACTTGATTTCAAGTGAAATGGTGCAGTTTTTTTTACCACAGGCTGAAGTTACTATTTAAGGTTGCGTTACTGAAATAATGATAGTCTACGGTGGCTTAAGTTCTAATTAGATTACCCAATCGAGACTGTTAAACATGCCAAAACGTCAAACAAACTTTCAACCCCTGCCAGAGTGATGGAGAACACTTTCATTCACTTTTACTTCTGTACCAGACTCTGCTCTTAAAGTAGATGGCTGGTTCACATTGTTCTTGTTCATCCAATTTAATTAGAACCCTTTGTGTTTTGATTCTAGGTGCCGTAGCCAGCGGTTTTGACGGTCCTCAGGAGTTGCTGTATCTCCTCTGCTCAGCCTGTTTAGCCCCAAATCATATGCCAGGGTTTAGTTCTGTTCAAATCTTCCCCACCTGCCGCTTTGAAGGGACTGGTTATACTGTGTTTGGGCGCTACAGGGCAGGTTCATCCGAATGTGGTTAGAAATGAGATCAGTGTTGTAGCCAAAAAAAAAAAATAGTGCATGGGATGAAATGAGCCAGATGTTAAGAAGGGACTTGTGAAAAGGTTAGTTTTTTATTTTATTTCTATATATTCTAATCCCATTGAGTTTTTATTTTTTGTTAAAATGGTGTTCCCCACAAACTTTTATGAAATATAAATGAGACTAAAGCACTACTAGCATTTATCATTCTGTTACACCCTATTTATTAAACAACATGAGCGACACTAATACAGAGTTTTTGTTGTATTTGAGCTCAGAATTTTAGCCTAACTGAGTAGGAGAAAATGGAGCAAAATGGTCAACTTTGGTCTTACAGATTTTTATACACTGAGCTGTGCATTTCTCTTGCAAGTAAATAAACCACTAAGCAGACATGTTAAGCTGTACAGGTTTTATGTATTTTTTTATATATATATCTTAATTTGTTATTTAAATGCTTTTCACTAATAGTCAAAGAAATGAAATTGATGTGAAAAAAAGCTTGGATGTGCAAGAAACACTAATGCTGCTGGAATAACTGTCTTCAGTCTGACGTTACCGATGTTGAGGAGATTTAATAAGAAATGGGTATAGTGTATGTGTGTGTGTGCGTGCGTGCGCAAAGGCATAAATAAATATATTTATATGTTTTGTTTGAGCAGAGTTTTGTGTTTATTGCTGAAGATCTGAAATGAATGTGAATGTAGCTTGAATCTCTTTGTCTGCAGAGACAGCAACCATGTATTTTTTACAAAGCCTTGCCAGAGTCTGTGTTTGATCTTTTCGCATTGGATGATGCACATGGGCATGGTTTAAAAATGCATATCATGTGAATTTTCGAACAATAAAGACATGTAAACTTTTTTTCTAGTGTTCCTCGTAGTGTTTTTCCTTTCCCCCCTATTCTTCTAATTGATTAGTTATAATCTGAAGGGGAAGGAAAACGCTGTGAGAAGTGATTGCGCAGAGGGAGGCCAAGCCGCCTGATTGTTGAATTGTTGATGGCTGGATTGTTCTGAAAGTTTCCGGGCCGAAGGAGAAAACATGCCACTCTGCATCAGGAGGCTTAACCTCTGTCCTAGAATGCCCTCTGTGTGGATGACGATTACTCTAACGGCTTCACTGTGTGAGACTTTGTCTATGGGCAGCATTTTAAATCCCTTCCAGTCCACTTGTCTTGTCCCTCTACATAAATGCCCCAATTCCTGTCTGTGGCACCCAAAATAGCTTGAGACAAGCCTTGGGGTTAAACATCAAAACACAGCAAGAGTTGTTAGGGAAAGTTTGCAAACAGTGATCTCAGTTTAATTTGATCTATAGAAATGGATGTGACTAGATCGACTGAGTTGTGTAAAATTGCATTAAAAAGCCAGTAGGTTGCTCATCATAACCTTTTTGTGGTTTCTAGTTGTCACTGTTGGTCTGAAATTTTGCATCCCTGATATTTCCTAACCTAACTGTTCATGCATTTTAAAGAATTTGCCCTAAAAAAAATGAAAATTGCCAATTACTCAACCTCGAAATTCGAAAATATCGATGAGAAACTTGCACTATACCATCGCACGAAAAGGGACATCTTTGTTTGCCAAACTGGATTCTTTGTTTTCCATTGTTTTAAATATTTCAAATCCCAAACAGTTTTTGAAATAAGGACTCCAAGCCAGATTTTAATGAAATCCAGCATTGATCAAATCACACCCTCAGCTTTTGTGGCTCATGTCTTCAAAGAAACTAGGAGTTTCGGAGATTTTCTTTTTTGTTTATTTTAATTTCCTCAGACACACAAGATAAATGCGCCATGTCATGAATTGTTTTCACTCAAGACAAACACTAAACTGAGTAACAGACTATATGTTTAGGTGATGTGAAGAGAATGGCACACTTTTTGGTCTGTAATTCAGTTTTAAAGTCATAGTTTACACAAAAATGAATTTACTCACCCTCATGTCATTTTACACCCACATACGATTTTCCTTAATGCGGAAATCGATCTAGTCACATCATCCAATATTATTGTTTGGAACAACTTGAGGATGAGTAAATGAGAGAATTTTAACTTTTTTGTCAACAATCACTTTAATAAGCGTATGCAAAGCAAATCCACAGACGATAAACTGACAGAGTCTTCTAACCTTCTTCCCCATCACTTTACTTAATCCAGATTTGTTTTATGGCTATTTTACATTCATGTCGCTAAAGCATTTATGCAAATATGATAACAGTTAACAAAGACAATGTCCTCCACTTTGGAGGCCGGCCCTCTCTGAATCCCTCGCCCCCTCACACGCTTATTATGGGCCACACGGCTGGGAATAATTGGAGCCATGGAAGCAACAGCAAGATAAGTTTTGAGTGAACGAGGGCAGGGAGTCACGCTATGGGGACGCAAGTGTGCCAACAACCTGCCATGTTTTTTTTATCTTACTCTAACAGAGGAAAAGACCGAGTTTGTTTTCACATTCGTTCTCACACGTCTCTCTTTTCTTCGATGTCAAGCTTACATATCTAGGGCCGAGTTCATGCTCTGCTGCACTCCAAGCATTTGTACCATTCCATTGCCTATTATATTGATTTGTTTTGAGCACAATGAGTATGTCAAGGCTATGACTCTACTATGACAAAGCTGGCTATTTGCAATACAGGAATGTTTTGTTTACATGCAATTAAAACAATGCACGCATACTAACAGGATAAAGGGAATACAGAGGAAAATCTGAAGACGAGTCAGGCTTACAGATTGCCCCCCAAGATAACAGTTTTTAGATCGGCAGGACAGCTCACGGAGAAGACTGTGTGGGACGTGTTGCGGCGCTCCACCAGCGCAGCCACAGCCTCCCCTAAATCCAAGTGATTCAGGTACCCGGGGGCCATTCGGTCTGGGGCCGCCACACCCGTATTGATTTTCACCTGTTGGAAGATTATAAAGACAGGCATCATAGAGGAACAAATATGAGGAAATACTTTCATGACACTTAATTAAAAGCATCTACAGTGAGTCTACATGTCATGGCCGGAATATAACCCCATGAACTTGTCGTGTTTAGGAGTTTGATGAGGCTTTTAGACAGCACATAGCAAACACACCTGGTTGAGTTTGCATGGCAACTCTGGGTACTCCTCACGCAGAACCTGACAGAACGCCAGAGCGCTTGCTGCGCCTACGGTCAGGAACCCTGTGCCAGGCATCAACACTTTCTCTCCAGCACCTCCTGTACGACAGAGATTGCATCTAGATAAGCAGGGTGCATCATTTACTTTTTACATTTAAACTTTTTTTGAACTCTTTTTTTATCTGCCTGATTTTTTTTTTTGAACATCTTTTCAGTGAACGGCTCTTACAGGGATATTTCACCCAAAAATGAAAAATGTGTCATTATTTACTCACCCTCATGTTGTTCCAAACCTGTATGAGTTTCTATGTTCTTTTGAACACAAAAGAAGATATTTTGAAGAATGTCAGTAACCAAACAGTTGATGGGCCACATTGACTTCCATAGTATTTTTTTTTTTAACTACTATAGAAGTCAATGGATGCCGCCAACTGTCTGATTACCAACACGCTTTAAAATATCTTCTTTTGTGTTCAACAGAAGAAAGAAATGCATACACGTTTAGAATAACTTGAGAGTAAGTAATGACAAAATGTTCTTTTTTGGCTGAACTATCTCTTCAAATGAACCATTTTTTCTGTGAGAAACATTTTAATAACCTGTTGTGCACTATATATATATATATATATATTTGCGCATTGGTGCAGCTCCTATGAACAGTGATGCTGTTTTATTGACAAGGTTTTTGAATTTGCTAAAATATAAATTTGGCCTTAATACTCTTTAATGTGCACTTCAAATAGATGTACTAATAAACTCAAGATTATTTTCCACATACAACTAAATAGCTTTCACTAAATATATGTTTTGGAGGGCAAATGATAACCCACCTGTGATAAATGTGTAGGTGCAGTTAGGATCATCTCTCACCAGGGGAAAGAACGCTTTCCAAGACACAAAGGTGCTGAAAAGCAGAGTCTCAATAACCTGGTGATGAGAGAAGATGAGTTTTGAGCAATGAAATGATGGTGGATTGAATGATGGGAGAAGAAGACCCAAAGATGAAAGTTAGGTTAGAAAGCAAAATGTGGATGGTGAAATGTCATATGAGCAGGTATAAAGAGTGGAAGGATATCATTAAGTAAATGCTGCTCTCTTTATTTGAAGCTCACCCATTGCAGTTCTTTGAGGGGTTGAGTGTGTGGTGGACCTCCCTGCCACCAGCTGAAGCCCAGAGAGGACACCACATCTGTGATCTTTCCCACAGACTTAAGCAAGGCCTGTTTCACCTCCTCCACTCCTTCCACTGAGCCTTATAGATTAGGAGAGTCACAAACAATCCAAAATCAATGAGACCTCAAAATGACTAGAGTTGCAAAGATAGCATTAAAAAAAACTGCAAAGGTAAGAAGATTCTTACCAACATTCCCCACTAAAGTGGTCAGGTTACTTTTTGTGTTGGGTGAAACAAACCCTTTGAGTTTCTCCAACTTGATGTTGTCTCTGGAGATCACAGCAACTTTGAAACCTAAACCACACATTCAATGTAAAAAGAATTCTATTCATGCAACGAAATGTATGTTTACAATTTAAAGAAAAAGAAAGAAAAATGTTTAATCGGCTTAGACTTAAATTACAGAATCGGAATTGAAAATAATTCCTCGTTTTAACCTCTAATAATCGCATATAGGTTTGTGAGTATTTGATTTATGAGTATTTTCCTAATCATAACCGCACTGAATAAAATTGCAAAAAAACAAAACAGAAAAAGAGAATAAATTCAGAAAGATGAAAGCAGTGTGGTCAAATTACTGTTACACGTTGTCTAGTTTGGTTGTGTATGTTTATTAAGTCATGTTGTAGTAAACCTGATCCTTTATATAGAAGCCTTTTAAAATGAATAACTGATCTACAAATCATTCGTATTCACTTCCAATAGATATTACAGACAGTCATGTATAAATGTAATGTAATATAATAAAATATAATATAATTAATATAATAAAGTCTAAAATAATGTAGCATCATATAATATAATAAAATAAAGCCTAATATAATATAGGCCTAATAATATTTGTTGTTGTTATGAATATAATATTTCATATTTTCCCCTCCTTTTTCTTATGAAGATAATGCTTATTTCCTTTGTTAAGTTTAAATACTTAATGTGCTCTTACCTCTGTCCAGGAGAGCTTTCACTATGCCGGAGCCGACGGTTCCTGCTCCACCGAGCGCTAAAACCACCCTGTCCTCGTTTGACATCGCGCACACAACTGCTGCAGCAGTGCAGACGTCTAAGATTGATTATGGTTTATGGGGTTCATGTCTCCTGCTGCTCAAGATCTTTAAATCTAACCGCAGCAGGAATGACACGCCCCTTTAAGAATGACACTCCCACCCAATTATGCATTCTTTTATCCTTATCTTATTAGTTTTAAAGTAACGGGTTTTTTTTAGGAAAATTATCAATTTTACGACTGAAAAAAATACACTATAGTGAATAACAGTAATGTCATATCAGTAGACAACAAGGTTACAATAATCAACTATTAAAAGTGTGAGAAGGTCAGAACTAATATTACCAACAGTTTCCATCTTAGATTATAGCGCCCTCTTGTGAACAATCACTGGTATATATATATATATATATACAAACTAAATTAAAATAGTCTGAAGTTGTATAAATTATTTTGGTATTTTTATAAAAAAAATTAGAAGAGTCTCTGTTTATTAAATTTGGAATAGGGATCTCAAGATGTATATGGAATACTTTCATATATGAAAAAATGCAAATGTGCACTGTTTTTTATTTCAATTACTTTTAATTACTGTAATTGTTATTTAATTACAGTTTTAATGTTCGTACACTTTTATTTACTTTTATTTAATCCGAAAACTGCAACTTTCACGTGAGCCGAATACGGAAGTGATGTAAAAAAAAAAAAAAAAAAAAAGTTTCTCCGCCGAGAAGCAGCAGAGAAGCACTGACGCTTTTCAAAGCGGTTTGTTTTGGCCGCTGAATGTTGATCAGGTAAGTTAACCATTTTTTTTCCCATTCGTAACAGTCTAATGTGAATGGCGTTAATGTGCTACGAGCTTTGATGATTTGATTTGAATAAGTTCGTTTTTGGTATGGAAAGATAGCAAGATTACACAATCTTTAAACGTCTTAGCATAGTTTATGCTAATAACAATGCGCTATACTTTAAATATACTTTTAAAAAATCTGAATTTAATGACTACAGTAACTTACTATGTAGAACGCTGATTTTAGATAAATTACGGAACTGTGTTTTCCATCTTCACTTTCACTTTGTTTTTAATAGTTTAAATGTTCACATATTCAGCAATCGGCGGTCTGATTGGATTGAATTTGAACTGCATATTTAATCTTTAGATAATAACATGTTTTATATACTTCTCTTCTGAAGAAGTCTCTTATGCTCACCAAGGCTGCATTATTGATTATGACAATTTAAAATAACTGTTTTCTATTTGAATTTCTATATTTTCAAATGTAATTTATTCCTGTGATGCAAAGCTGAATTTTCAGCATCATTACTCTGTCTTCAGTGTCACATGATCCTTTCTAAAATCCTTCTAATATGCTAACTTGATGCTCAAAAAAACATTCATTATTATTATCAGTTGAAAACAGCTGTGTACCCCCCACCACAAACTTTTGAAGAGACTGTATAATGTTACAACACCTTTCTATTTCAGATAAATGCTGTTCTTTTGAACTTTCTATTCATCAAAGAATCTTTTTTTTTTTCTTTTTTTTTCTTTTTTGTAACATTTTTACATTATGGTTTTCAACATTGATAATGATAATAATAAACGTTTCTTGAGCAGCAAATCAGCATATTAGAATGATTTCTGAAGGATCATGTGACACTGAAGACTGGAGTAATGATGCTGAAAATTCAGCTTTGCATCACAGGAATAAATTATAATTATTTTAAAATATATTCAAATAGAAAACTACTAGTATTTTTAATTGTAATAATATTTCACAATATTACTGTTTTTTTGTTTTGCATTTTTAATCAAATAAATGCAGCCTTGGTGAGCATAAGAGAATTCTTTTAAAAACATTAAAAATCTTACAGATCCCAAATTTTTGAACGGCAGTGTATTTATAAAAACGTCATCCACTGTATTCCTGCCGTCATCAGATTAACTCTGAAAAGAAACTTCTTATTGTTGCTGTATATATTTTCAAGTATTATACTACATTTTGATATGTAAGGGATTATTGTGATATTTATTGATATAATTTGATTGTCGATAACAAACTTCTTTTATTGTGTCTTCATTACAGGATGAATTCTTTTGCTAATAAAAAGACAGAGAATGGTCTTATAAATAGGTACCAGACTAACTTGGAGAGACGAATTGAGAAGGGGGATCAAAGTTTAGTATGCAGGGATGAGGGACTGTGTAAGGAAGTAGAGGTGCTCCTTTGCAATAACAATGCCCAGAAAATACATACTCTACATGGATTAGATTCACTGACAGTGATGGAGAAATCTCTCCATGCATTTCCTTCTAAAACTGGCCAAATGGGGCTTGAAAAACTTTCCAAGGCCTTTGAAGTGTTGGAGCTCGCTGCGTTAAACCTCTACGTCTTCCCCTGGCGAAGAGAGTACAGACTGGTTAAGGTATGTGGAAATACTGGTGTTACACCTACAGAGCTAGATTTTTCAATTGTCTGAATGATTTTGTTTTTCACCTCCTTAAAATATTCTCTTCCATCTCACCAGATGTTTTCAGGCATGTTCACCCATTTGATCAAACCTGCTCTGACCCTTCAGCAGGCTAAAGAGCTGTTTGGATTGCTTGGGTACCAGCCTTCAATCCCTAATGAAGACGAGGAGTTGACGCTGAACTCCAAACCAGCTCCTTCTGATTTCATACTCGGTCTAGCATGTGGTTTCTTCACTGCCCGGATGGAGTGCCAGCTGCTACTTTCCTCCTTGGGCTCAGCGCACAGAGGTGTGGAGTGGGTTCTTCAGCTAGTTAAAGAGAGGCAGGCGGGCCACAGTCTTCAGGTAGCATTAGACAACGCCAAGAGAAAGTCGGAGGTTGCTAGTGCTTCGGACGCCATCCTGACAAGCGGCGTGGACGCTGAGCTTGATCTGTACACAGAGGAGACAGACGTGACATCCACTCCTTTTTCACCACCACACTCTTCTTATACGCAACCAAAAGAGATCATTCAAAGCAAGCCTTTACAGAAAGAGCCCTTACAGTCAGACTCAGACATGAGGAATAATGACGTTACCAGGCAGAGAAGATCAAACAACAATCCAGGTCCAATGGAAAGCTTTGGTGAAGATCAATCGAAAGGTAGTGCCCAGAGACAAGCAGGAGTAAACGTGATGTGCAGCTGTATCACACCAGATGTATTATATATATACCAGTGTGAGAAGTGCAAAGAGTTTCACAGTCTATCGTGTAGCGGTTATAAAGAGTGCTTTTTAAAAGAGCATACTTTAGCACTGTGCCCATACAAAGCTGAAGACCTTTATTTAGCACAAGACCCGTTTAGATTGGCCAAGGAAAAAGATTCCCTGAAGACACATAATTGCATGGTCAATTCTACTTCTGATACATTTTTGGATTGTTACAAATGCCAGGTAATCCATGGCCACAACTGTAATATTATTCAAAAGTGCAAATTAAATCACAACGTACTGCCCGAAGGAAAATTACAGCCCCCTCAAGGAGAAAGAGTGAATGCTCAAAAAAAGCACACATGTCTTTCTTCTGAAGCTCCAGTATATGTAATCTGTCACACCTGTAATAACTCCCATGATTTATTATGTCAAGATTTGCAAAATTGTGCTAAGTATGCACATTGTATCCAGTACCCCCAGGAAAAAACAGGTGCTTCAGAAACACCTCCTGCACCAATAGCATTTCTCAATCATTGCTTGACAGATAAACAGCCTTTGCCTGAAATTGTGTGTCTCACTTGTAAAAACTTTCATTTATCTGGGTGTTCTGATGGATGGCGTTGCTCTCAAAAACACAAAATACAAGATCTCGGAACTAAATGCATCACTTGCCTCGGTTCTGAACTTTCCACCTACTGCAGGTATTGTGGTGCCCTGTATTGCAAACGATGTTGCTTTAAAAATACCATGGTATGTAAGTGTGGAATGCCTTTCATCTCCTCTTCCTCTGAATAACATCTATGCATCAGTGTTGACCATGTGTGGTTGAAGACTGTTTTTAATCTGCACATTAAGCCAGTTATTATTTTGCTAATTGCACAGTAGATCTGAAATACTTTGGGGTTAAATACATGACAATCTGTTACACTTTTGATTTTTGATATCAGCAACATCTTGATAGGAGCCATGTATTATAAAAAAGTTACAAAGTTCACAGTAGAGTTAATTATCACTTACCAATTTATGTCATACAATAACAGAGCTCATAACTGTATATTATTGGTTGAGATTGTGCGATGACCAGTCCAATATTTGGGAAAATCATGGTTTTGGGTCTTAGCAACATTTCTAACCAGTTATTATGTTGTTTAGATTAATGTACTATGCTGCCATATAATTATTAAATATAATGCATGTTTATTATTGTGATTAATATAAAAATAAAGGGAATGTAAGAGAATTCTGTTTGTACTCTTATTTAAAAGATCAAAATCCTAAACATTATTATACCGTAATAAAAAATGTGATACTATTGAAGATGGTGTTTTAATCTCAACATAGTCATAGACTAGTATCTGCAAAGGAAAAGTGGAAACTTGATTGTAAATGCTCAACTTGAGGTCATATCTGGCAGTGAAATGTGATAAACAGTGATAAAAAGGCCTGTGTCGGATAACAAAGGATTGAATTGAATGTCCATTTTCTCTGAAATCCAAAGGTAAGGTTGCAATAAAGTTCCCAAAGCTTTATTCATTGTACTCTTCCCATTTTACATTAATGAAGGTTTTACTGTCCATGCGATCGATATATAAAACTCCATTGAGGTGATCCATTTCATGCTGCAGTATTCTGGCCGGCCACCCACTCGCTTGCCAGCTGACGGGCTCAGCTTTCTCATTAAGACCTTTGGAAAGAAGACAACAGTTTTTATTTGATACTTGAAATAACATCATAAAGTAAATATTTAGGTTGCCACAATGATTTTAAGTCTGGCCTCAAAGCTATGGGTCACTTAATACAGGTTGAGTCTTTTTCTTTCTTTCTTTTTTGACATTTTACAGCAAGATACTTTTACCTGAGACTTCAACAGACACATAGCGTGGAACGGATGCTGAATACCCACAGATGCTCTCACATGCCTCTTGGAAGATGACGGTGTGTCCATCTAGTACACGCAACTGTGGGTTTACAAAAATCATCAGGGGCACTGCCACCAGACCCCGAGCTTCAATGGAAGTGATTGAGCTTTCCTCCAGCATTTTTGTGGGATACTCCAAGGCTAATATCCGTAGAGGAACACCAATCTGGGGTGCGCTCAGGCCGACACACTCGAGCGTTCTCATCACCTTGACCAGAGTCTTTATGACCTTCTGCACTTCTGGTCCCTGAATGGCTCCAGGTTCCACTGCCGCAGCCTGTGAACGTAACACAGGATCTCCAACCTGGCACACGTGATTGTATGGAGGAGCCGGTGCACCTTTGACTTTCCTTTTCATGTACTGTAAGTAGGAGCGCATCTTGATGTTGGTAGAATGAGTACGTGGAGATGCAGTACATGTGAGTGGTGACAAGGGTAAAAGTATTCTAACTGGTTTTGGAAGTACATAATTTGTCTGACTTCTTAAGACACAATGTGAAAATGTCCTCCAGTGCCTGATCATGACTGGCTGCAGTGGAAAGCTTCTCTCTTGACAACTGGAGAAAGGAAAAAAAGGACATGTCAACAAAGTCAAAATAATTATTAATGCAATAAATTTGAATGTGGACAAGTCTGTTTTATTTTAGCTCATCAAAGCTGAATGCATGTTTAAATGTACATTTAATTTACATGTAAGCTGTAATAACTTAAAAGTAGCTACATTGATTATATAGAAGGGGTGAAATAAACATAGGATACAGTCTGTACTCACCAGTACTGTAATTAATTCCTGTAATAATAAGAATTTCACATCAGAATTTTTATTAACCGCTAGAAGCATTTCAATGTGAGGAGGACAGCCAGAGAGACCATTCCGGAAAACGGAATTACTGAGATCTATGACACCGTGTTGTTTCTTTAAAATAAAAGTCTGAGTATTAAATTAAATTAAATTAAATTAAATTAAATTAAATTAAATTAAATTAAAACAGTCTTAACTTAAACACCACAGGAAAAATTGCATTGCGTTGAAGGCTTTTATTTTGGTAAAATCATTTTCAAGAAGCCAACGTCCTGTTTCAAAACATCACGTGATATAGTCGGCGTGAGGATTGTTTACACCTCCCTTTCATATCAAGGAATGAACATTTTCAATCAAACAAATCTTACCATTAATAGTACCACATTTAATGATTATTAAAAATAATATAAACGTCTTTAATTCTAAGTAATTATTCACGTCATGCTGAATTATGGCCAGTTTGAGGAGAATAATAGTATAAGTTATGTAGCTTCATGCAGATAATTATTTTCAGTCCATGTATCGTTATTTCATCGTAAGAAATGTACTTTATCGTAACCTTTGTATTTGTTTTTTAAAAATGAAAGTGAAATTAATTAAGTGAAGTAGGCGATCACGTGTTTGCACCGTAGTAGTAGGGAGCGAGATATCTGGGACGTACTACATCCGTGATTAGATGAACATGGCGCAGGGGAAACAGGCCGTTCGTGGACTGTAAACAAGAGGAAATTTTGGGATAAGATCGACATCGTACCATGCACGTGTGAAATGGTCTCAATCTCGATATACTGGACCGTTTGTTCTGCTTCATTGATGACTACGAGGCGACAGATTGAGTGCAACACATCGAATTGCATTCATAAACATTTCTATAGGACTTCAAACCCCTGAGCATTCATTGTTTTGGATATTGAAAACAAACCTTGTTTTATTGTGGATGACATCCTTCACGACCAAATGGCTGCAACTGGAAAAGTCAAACGGAGTAACGTTAATGATTTGCCTCAAGGTGTTGAGAGGTTGAAAGAGGAGCACAGAAAGGTCAGGAGTAATGTTTATTTCATATACCACCGATCCATTCCTGCAGATATTCAAACTCAATGTTCATGCAGGCGATTTATCATCAGCACCAATTTATCTGTTATCTATTTATGTTGTTTTTGCAGTGTAACGTTAGTCGCATAGACGCGTAGCATTTTCTAGAAAGTTCCTTTGTGTATCACGTGTTGGTTAGCTGATTGTTACATGTGGTTTTTTTATACTTCGCAATTAAATTCATGTACATATACATGCAATTTATCTCAATAATGTTAACCGTAAATTATCTTACATGTGTGGTAGCTAGCAAACAATGTAAACTCTAGTTTAATCGAATACAAAGTTGTCCACGTTGCCAAAATGCATACAGCAAGCAAAAGCTTACTGTTACAGTAGATAGTAACGTACACATGCTGTGAAATGACTCCGTGTGCAGTTAAGGTTTAACTGACCTATTTGTATTTGCATGATATTTTGAGTAACATGAGTAGGTGAAAAGCAAAAAGTGTCTTTTACCCATGTGTTGACATTGGAGGTTAAACCTCAGCTGGCTGGATGTGAAAGCTACATTTGTGCTGCTTCATTTAACGTCAGCAAGACTCAAACTTCTGTTGCATTAGCCTCAGCAACACTTCTATAAGGGAAATTAGAAACATATAATGCTTAAATGAGCATGCTGTTAGACATGCTTTATGTTGTTCTATTGATGGGTGAATCTTCTAAAGCCTGTAAAGAATATGCCTGGGTCATATTTCTCTCCAACATAAAAATAATCGACTTTACTGTGAAAATTATATTTTGCAGAAGGAAAATTAAGATGATTTGCACCGTGACATCATTTCCATGACAAATAAGCACATTGACCTTGAAATTGTGTCCTTATTCTAAAATCTCTTTCTCATTACTGTAATAGAAAAACATAGGCCTATTATACTTTTCTTTTTTTTTAATCATGATATAATACACTAATTTTTAGTTAAAAAAAAAAAAAAAATATATATATATATATATATATATATATATATATATATATATATATATATATATATATATATATATATATGTCTGGTCAGGAGGCATTTTCATTACTCAATTACAATAGTAAGAGTGTGAGGTGAAATGGAATTATACAGTAATAGAAAAACTGCAAGTGAGCATTACAGTATGTGAAATAAAGGGTACATATTATGAAATTAATATCACAGTGCAAACAATTCTAATGGGCTTAATTTTCTTTGAGCAATAGTACTGAGCTATTTGTGAGTCTACAGACTCTTTTTAGTTGTTTTGCGTGTATAGCTATTGTTTTTAACAATGACATTGCCTAAACATCCTTACATGCTACTCTCAACAAGAAACTTTCAGGACTATCATTCGCTCTCTATAATGGCCAATTCACATTACCAGAATATTACAGATAGTTTAGCAGTGATTGTCACGGTGGCATTTTGGGAATTTCAGTGGTTGTGAAATGACCAATTGTCTTCCACAACAGGTGGTGAAAGATTGCAGAAGTCAAATTGAGCATTGGTGAGTGTCCTCGTGCAGTTTAACAGCTCTCTCAGACATGCATAACATTCGTATCAATGTCTATAACTGTTCTTTCTAGCTGCACATTAGCTTGTCTTGTCTTTTTTTTTTTTTTGCATGTTTATATTTGGAATGGAAATGCTGTTTATACTGTGAATCACTATGTAGATGTTTGATGGTTATGACAAAAGATTTGACAGGCTTTTGTTTTATTCCTTTTCAGTATTTTAATAAGATATTCTGTAGGTAGGACAAAAATAGATTTTGTATGTCAACAAACCAGAAATAACCTTCTAAGTGATTCATTTTTCTCTGTGATTGACAGGGAAAAAGTGGAAAAAGACTATGAATCTCTTCAGGACCGCCTCAGGACCTTGCCTGACAAGTTGTCTTATGATATTATGGTATGGCATCACTTTTCAATTACCAATGCATCCAACTTAATCTTCATAGACAAAATATTTTGTATGCCTGAGCAACAAAATGTTTAATTATCATCAGAGGATTATTCACTCCTTTTAGCTGGTTTTAAGACACATTTATACCAAGGACTATAACAATAAAGTTTGAATAAGGTCTGTAGTGCCATAGAGGAACAATTTCAGTGGAATCACTTTCAGAACAATTTGTTTCAGCTGATGAAGGATAAAACCATTGCCAGCCTATCAGAGCTTGAGCATTTAAAGCAGAAGATGACATAGTAACATAACGTTAACGGTGTTGGTGTGGACACCAATATAGTTATCTTTATAATTATTGATCTTGGTGTGAATGGACCTTTTGTCAGATTTGAAAGTGACACTTTTACTGGAAGCCCTGATTTTGCTCATTATTTGGTTGTTTTTTTAACATGATAGGTACCATTTGGTCCCTTGGCTTTCATGCCGGGAAAGCTAGTTCACACTAATGAGTTAACGGTGCTCCTCGGGGATAACTGGTTTGCAAAGTGTTCTGCCAAACAAGCCGACACTCTTGTGGAACACAGGAAGAAACGTGAGTTATTTCTACTAATATTTCCTATTGACCAGTTTTGAATAATGCGTACAGCTTGACCTGATTTATGTGATATTTTTCCAGATGTCAAAAATGCTCTAGATGACTTACAAAAAGTGATGAAGAACTTTCAGAACAGGGCTGATTTTACAAAGGATCTTGAAAAATTGACTGGTGTAAGTGTCCTAACTATGACCTCAATGCTGTGTGACATTATTTGGAAACCTTATACTGATGTTTTAATTTCTGGAAGAAACTTTAGCACACGCCTAAAATCAAATCCACTCTTTCTCAACAGGGTACTGGAGATTTTGTAGACATTAGAGAAGAGGTAATAAATGAGGACGAAGTTACCAAAGGTAAGTCTAGTCTTCGGGCTATCTGTCATGCTATCAGGCTGTTTCTACTTCTATTGTTCATTACGTTTACACTCTATTGTGCTTCCCCAGGAAAACATCGTTTGGCCCACAAACCCAACTCTAAACCTAAGCAGGAGTATTTGTTGGACCTGAAAGAGGACAAAGAGAAGGAAGAAGTTGATGAAGAGCGAAAGACAGGGGTGCTGTCAGAGGAAGAGCTGTGGGCTCGACTTGATGATCTAGAGCGTCAGGAGGAACTGCAGGATGCGAGATACCGGTAAAAAAACACTCGCAACCTAACACTGTGTTCAATATTTTGCAGCACAACTGTTTTTAACATTGATAATAACAGGAAATGTTTATTGAGCACCAAACCAGCATATTAAAATGATTTCTGAAAGGTCGTGTGACACTGAAGACTGCAGTAATGATGCTGAAAATTCAGCTTTGCATCACAGGAATAAATTACATTTTAAAATATATTATAATATAAAATAGTTATTTTAAATTGAAATAATATTTCACAATATTACTGTTTTTACTGTATTTCAGATCAAATAAATGCAGCTTTGGTGAGCATAAGAGACTTCTTTAAAAAAATTATTTTAAAAAAAAACTTAACCAAAACTTTTGAATGGTAGCTTATATTGGGTCAAATGATATTAGCTAATACTTTTTCCTGTGGGACACAAAATGGTCTTTCTTTTTAAATCAATCAAGTATTGGTTCCTAGCATACAAATGGAGTTAAATGGTTTTTGAAAATAAATCCTTATTCAGTTATCACAAACTTCACAGAAAGGTCATGGACATTTAGTGGTCAAGAAGTGTAAAAACCTTGCTTTTCATACCATGTATGCATAAATTATTATTATTATTCATAAAGTAGTATGAAAACTCAATGCACATACAGTACAGAAAAAGTAGCTGTTACCCCAACCATTTAAGAGGATACTCATAGATTTGGTCTATTTTCTTCCCTGTTACACCAGATTGGACAGCACAGACACTAATGGAGAAGACACCACTTCCTCCTCAGAGGAAGAGAAGGAAGCAGATGGTGGCAGCGGTGTCCAGGTTAATGGCCATCAGAAGGAAAATGGCTGGGTACCGTCATCTCTCAGTCAGATGAACGGCATTAATGGCTCGCACCCTGAGGAGGAGGAGGAGGAAGATTGTGAGGAGGAAACAGACAATGGGCTTCCAACTATCTACTTTTCTCACACTGTGGAATTCAAAAAGGTTAGTCGATAGCTACACAAAACTCTTTTAGATAAAGTTACAAAATATTTCAATTTCAAATAAATGCTGTTCTTTTGAACTTTCTAATTCATCAAAGAACCCTTAAAAAATGATCAGTTTCCACAATAATATTAAGCAGCAAAACCGTTTTCAACATTTATAATAGTAAGAAATCCTTCTTGAGCACAATTCGGCATACTAGATTGATTTCTGAAGGAAACAATACAATGTTTATTTATAAAGCACAATTTTAAAACAACTGAAGTTGACCAAAGTGCTGTACAAGTACAAAAGAAAACCAATAGTAGAAAACACAAATCAACAAGAATTACAAACAATAAAAGACAATAAAACACAAGCTGTAAAATAGGTTGAAGTAAAATCATAAAACAGCTAGTCAAGATATATCAAACGCCAACGATATTAAATTAGTCTTAAGAGTTGACTTAAAAATAGATAAAGTTGGGGCAGTTCTGATAAACCGGGACACTATTCCATAGTTTAGGGCCGATTACAGAAAAGGCACGATCACCTCTGTTTTTAAGTCTTGTCCTGGGAACTTGCAATAGTCCAGAATTAGCAGACCTTGACTGAGTGTAGGGATATAACAGATCAGATAAGTACTGTGGTCCCTTTTATGAAGAGATTTAAATACAAACAATAGAATTTTAAAATCAATTCTATATTTGACCGGCAGCCAATGTAGTGAGATCAAGACTAGTGCGACAGACTCATGTTTACGCTTCCCATAAAGAAACCAAGCCGCTGCATTCTGAACTAACTGTAGATGTGGAATACAAGACTGGGGGCACCGACATACAATGAATTACAGTAGTCCAGTCGAGATGTTACGACAGCATGCATAACCGTTTCAAACTTCTTTAGGGACAGAAGTGGCTTTACCTTTGACAGAAGACGAAGATAATAAAAACACAACTTTACCACAGTACTTATCTGCTTATTGAGTTTAAGATTATTATCAAACCAAAACACCCAAGTTTCTGACATGTAGTACTATAAGGTGACAAAGATGCAAATGAAAATCATGTACACCGTGTTTTTGAACCAAACACAATAAATTCAGTTTTACTCTCATTAAGGCTCAGGAAATTAGTTGCAAGCCAGAGTTTTAGCTCACCCAAACAATCCACAATTGACTTTAAAGGTTGTATCAGTGATTTCAGCCCCAAAAAAGGCCCAAACATAAATGATCACATTCATCTAATCTTTCCTAACGATCCGCTAGCTGCCCGCCCCATAAGCAGGCCGTCAAAAAACGCGTCTCTGTAGGCAGCCTAGGCTGTGAGATCTGAACACAAAAACAATTGGTTTCACCAACCACTCAAAACCAAAATAAATAGTGTTTCAACCAATCACCGACATGGGTTCGTTGATAGACGCTGGCTTCTTCTTCAGCTCCGACTTCGCGTGCAGCCGTGCACGAGCGCAAAACCTCACAACACCCGCCCCCTGTCGGTGATTGGTTTTAAATACTGTGACAGTATTTAAAACTGGATTGTAATTTTTCATGAACAGAATTGATAGCCAAAAGACAACTTTCTCTAGAATTTTAGGAAGAAAAGGTAATGTGACCATGGGCAGTGGCGTCATGCCCATTCAAAGTGGAAACTTCTCGTTTGGCACGAGGCATAAAAGGCACGTGCCCCCTCAGATTTTTCCTCCCTAGGGTGACCAGAAGTCCCGAAAAATTCCGGACAGTCCCGAAATCTAAGCTGTTGTCCCGAATCCCGAAACCGACCTTATTTGTCCCGAAAATTATACTAAAGAAAAATCTTGATATATCATATTAAAAACTGTCCGTGGAAGTTGAGTCGTCCTGCAGCCAGCCCCTTCCAATTGCAGCAGCCGCAGCCGCGAGGACACTGAATGTGCAGGCAGCCAGTCTAAACTTTAGTTTTTTTTACGCGCGTCATTTGCTCTTGACGCGCGAATGGATTCAAAGTGTTCACGCGTAGGCTATAACTAGACGCGGTAGGCGCAAATTTGACGCGCTATTCGCGTCTGGTGTGAACGCAGCATTAAAGGATTGATTGATTGGTCGCGTCACTGTGTCCAAAAAAAAACTTCGTTCGGGCCTTATAATGTCTGATGTCGGGTTAGGCCTACACAAAGCAAATCATCTACAAAATTATTTAGTTGTCCTATTTAATGACCGACAATTTAGTTGTAATAATAATTTTGCCATAAGGCTTATTAGCGTTAGGCTATAGCCTGAAAGGTCTGATTTAGCCTACACACTGTTACAACAGTAACACATTTTCTTTTTTCACAATGACATTTGAGTTCATGATTTTAATGTTTTTTTTTTTTTTTTTTGGCAGACTAAAGACTAATGACAGACTTTGATCTTTGAATTAAAAAATATGTTTGGTTCAGGTTTGAAATTCATTATCTTTTAATGTAGTCTAATATCATAGTAGGACTACCCCCCAAATCCCTACAGCATAGTTGTTATACAGATCACTATACATATTGCATTTAATTCGATTACTTTTTTAAATTTCTGTCAAATATTAACCATTTTCAAATAAACGGGGTAGTGTTAACCTTATTCAGCACTGAAATCTGTCAAACTTCTTTCAAAGTCCTTCATCACATATTAATATTAAAATAACTTAATTTCAGAGCACCACAAAGTCAGACCTCAGCACTTTTATGTAGGCTACCTTTAATGGAAGATCGTTCTTAAGGTCACATACCAATTTAAAATCATAACATAAAAACTGCAATGGTACTGTTTTTAAAATCATGTGTAGTAGGCCTAAGTGTACAGTAAGTGTGTGTGTAAACATGCTTTAATGAAGTAGACTTCAAAAGCTTTTGAATTTGAGCTTTCAGTTCTTTCATCAACCTGTCTTTTACATAAACTTAAAAAATAGATACTTTAACTTAGTCCTCAGAATCAGATAGAGGAATGTTGCTGCTAGCTCCGTTAAGGTATTTCTGTCCCTCCCAAACTGCATTGAAATGGTATGTTTAGCAGCCAGAATAAAAAAAAATTCAGGGGGAGAAACCCCCTGACCCCTCCTAACATGATCCATATCACCCGTCAGAAAACAATTGCAACGTCTCAGATTGTGCCCCGCCAGAATTTTGGCTTGCATGACGCCCCTGACCATGGGACACTGAAGCCTGGAGTAATGGCTGCTGAAAATTCAGCACAATATTACTTTTTTAATGTATTTTTGATCAAATAAATGCAGACTTGAGTACATGAGACCTTGCAAAAACATAAAAAAATCTTACCAAACCCAAACTTTTTAACAGTAGTGTATTTTTTAAAACATTTTATGTTTTGCATTGAATTATTTTCTCCTGTCTGTCTTGGAAATAAAACATTTAGCATAATTCTTTCTTTCTTTGAAGGTCAGGATAAATACAGGAAAGAACACCACTCTAAAGTTCAGCGAAAGAAAAGAGCAAAAGGAGCAGGCCAAACGAAAAAAGAAAAATGGCAAAAGTAACGGCCATTCTCTCGAAAGTTACAAGATCACAAGCCCAGCAGATATTTATAGGTAACAGCCTTATCTATTTTAATTCACGTCTTCCACTGCTTGTGTGTTTTTAGCTCTTCAGTTTAAACACAGTCTATGTTTTTAGGGTGTTTGTGGACTTGGTGAATGGAGAGCCAATACCACGGAAGTCCATTTTGAAGTCTCGCAGCCGCGAGAACAGCGTGTGCAGTGACACCAGCGAGAGCAGCACAGCTGACTTTGAAGAGCGCCGTGCGGCTTTTGGACGTTCATGGAGCCATGATGATGCCATGCAGAGTGATACCAGCGATGGCATTACAGAGGAGGAGAGCCCTACTGGGACGAGTCCCCGCACTAACGGACGCTTTGAGGTACAGAGTTTTTTTGTTGCTGCTGGTGAAATTTGGCATGAAATGGAAAATCACCCCATCTATCTCCCAATCCTTAACCTGATCTGAAACTCTTATCGTAGGGGTTTCCAAACTCGGTCCTGTAGGGCCACTGTCCTGAAGAATTTCACTTCAACCTTGATTAGCTGATTCGGGTGTGTTTAATTGGGGTTGGAGCTAAGCTTTGCAGGACAGTGGCCCTCCAAGAGCAGGATTGGACACCCCTGTCTTATCGAGATAGAGGCTGGCAGCCTAAAACCAGCATGGTATTGCACCGAAATATATTGCTGACCTCTTGTTTTTTTTTCTATTAAACACTCAGCAAGCATATGAGATCTAACCAGATGGTTCTCTATGTTCCTAAGATTAGATTAAAATCAAAGGGCGGTAGGTCCTTTTCAGTAGCTGCTCTCTCTTCCAATGTACATGAGATATTCCCCATCTGTGGATGCTTTTAAGTCTAGTTTGAAGACAAATCTTTGTTGTATGGTTTTTAGATCTGATTAGACCAAACAGGATTTGTTTGTGTGGATGTATGTAACTGTCTATAGTGTATGTTTTAGCTGGAAAGTACTTTGGTCAGCTGCAGTTGTTTTAAATGTGCTATAGAAATAAAATTTGTATTCTATTGTATTGCAATTGCATGCTATTAATCTTAATGTGAACAATTCGTTAAAGCAAAATGTCATAACTTGATCTTACGGTACATAGAATTCTCTCTGATGATATATGCTAGACTTCTCCAATCATTTAGTCAGCTTAAAGTAATGCATGTATCTTGTCCCACAAAGTCTCTTGATTTGGTTTTAGTAAGTCTGGTTAGACACCATATTGAATTTTTTGCTGATGAAAATGAGGCTGTGACAGATTGACTTACAGTCTTTACAATGGCAAGCACTGTATGATGATCCTAAAGGACTCATTTTGCACAACTCAAGTCCATGGAAGTAGTTTGATTTTCTTCTCAGCCCAGAATTTATATTAAATGTTAAGTTGTTGTTTTTTATGTCTTGCTCAGGCAAAAAATAATGTCAGTAAATATTGAAATATCTTTTTGTGTTTTAGGCTTTTACAGGCACAGTGATTGAAAAGGACCCCCTGCCTTGCTCAATCCCACACCTGACCATCGCCCCTCCTGCCTTACCCACAATCCCGGAGAGAAAGCTGGAGGAGGTGGGCCAAGAAGCACCTCAGGAGCCACCCAAAAGGATGTCAAAATTCAAAGCTACACGGTTACATCAGAAATAAGAGTTCATCTCATTAGGGCACAATGTTTGAATTCGGTTATATAGCTACAAGACTGATGTCTCACTAGTTGTCCTCTGCCTCTGTTCTCCACACTGCTTCTATGCTGTCATCTGTCTCATGTTTCGTTTTGTGACATGCACGCTGGACATTTTATTTGCTTTATATGAGAAATGGAGAATTTACATGATTTTTCCTAACAGTTTGCTTTTTTTATGGCCAAATAGTTTAAATATGCACAAGCTGCACATTTTGGTATATTTTTACGTTTATTAGTTAAATAATAGTTAAAATAGAAACGAAGAAGTAAAAATATTAAAATGTTAGGGACATCATGACTGCTGTCATTGTTGTGACGTGGTCGATGTGGATTCTTTGGAAAATGCTTTATCAAAGGAATAAACTTCTGTTAATTCATAAAATATACGTGCAACTTTGACCTATATTGGCAATGAATCAGCGGTCAATTTCTGTCGGCTTAAAAAAATGTTTTATCCCTTCTGAACTCTGTCTTTGACTCTCCTTTATCTTCTTTTGTATTGTTTACAGAGTTTTGGTTTTGTTTCTGACCTAATGTACATCAGCTTTTTTTGTGACTGCCAGAAAAATGATGTAACTGAAAAAGAACAAAATAAATGATTTTGACTATAAGCGCTTTTTAACTGGTCAGAACATGATTTATTCTTGTTTCTACACGGAGCATACATTTTTGCATTCGTTTCTGGACATGAAATGTCTTAATTTTAATGATGAAGCAACTCCTTTGTCATTGTGGTGTTGCTCAGTCAGAGCCATTGGAGGGCGCCAAAGCGTTGCACTTTTTATCCTTCTAACTCAAAGCCAAAACAAGCTGCTGCATTTAGGGGGAAAAAACTAGACATTTACCAACTGAAATTGACTCCAAAGGTGATGTGTTCCCAGCAAAAACGGTTTAGGATGCTCAGATTTGGTGTTTTTTTTTTTTTAACCAAGCATTTTTTAATGTTATTTCAAGGTTTAAGTGGCAAGCTCAGAGTGGCAAGTGCAACGCTTTGAGGCCACAGGGACACCTTATGGGACTGATAAGAGCTTGCGTTTATTGCTGATGAGACGCACCAGCTCAGAATGCATAGAAGACGAGCATTACATTCTTGCATTACATTGAAGTTATACGCAAGGATATTGATCAACGTGACTGCAAATTTAGTTTACATTCATGTTTCTTAATTTTGCATGCACAACATGTGACAATTCAAGTGCTTCAAATATAAAGCATGTTTCAAAGACGCTGCTCTTAGATACGTGCTAATAAATAAATACAGGGAACAAAGAATAACTATTGCAATGCGATGAAAGGGTACTTTGATTTCTAACATTATTCTCTCAACAGACATTTACATCGATAGTCTGGCGTTATAATTTATTTGCTTTTGGTGTACTGTGGAGTGGGTAAAACTGTTTTTAATGGCAGGCTAGCAGTTACCGTTGACTCACGCTAGCCTAGCACCGGCGAACTATGCAACTGGAAGGACTGGATGACATTTTTTGAAAACTGTCTCCACTGATAAATAACACCCAGGCAAACTTGGAAATGAGGTCCGATGTCCAAAATCCTGAACCACCCCTTTAATTAAGCCACAGTCACACTAGACTTTGTGCTGCAAAATGCCTTCGGACCGCTTGGGACACTGCAACGGTCATAATATGACGTCACGCTCTGAAGCGGGTTTTTTTTTTAATAAACATGAATAACTAATAGTAAAAAATATCCAAAAAATCACAAAAATAACGACTTTATTCAACTATTCATTTCCTTCTCTGTGGGCCTCGAGATAGTTCATGTAGTGTAATACACGCTTCTGTGTTGTACGTCACATGGAGCTAGAAATGTGTCTTTATTACATGTGAGAAAATGGAGGGAAAATGTGTTATGCGGTGACGTCACATATGCGACGTGTAGTAGTAGTCTTTCTCGTTATGTCTAGTCCACAACTGCTAGCCAAAGAATCATACAATATACTGTCAAACTCGTTACATGAGAAATTATATAAAAAATTCACAGACAACATATGTTCACATTCATGGCACAATTCAAACGGGATCAGAAAATAATTATTTTCTCTCATTCACTTGCATTGATGCTTTTTCAACCTAGAGGTCCACTTGGAGTTTTACGGATGGCAGTGGCGCCTCCAGAAATTTCTCATAGGGGTGGCCAGATGGGGCCACTTAAAATCTTGGGGTGGCACACCAAAACTATACATCATAATTTCAGAATTTTATTCTACTGTTGTAGTAAACCGGCCTGTAGAAAACTATCAGAAAGACTTAAGGAAACTCCTACTGATATACTTTGGGTTATTGTGTTATACTTAATGTTAGCTTACTAATGATATTAGTAGGGCCCTATTAATATATATTATATTATATATAATGATATATATATATATATATATATATATATGATATATATAAGGGCCCTCACCCCGCGGCAAATTTCCAGATACTTACATAATTGTGATGAATTTAATCCTTTTTAAGTTATTATTTTGCAGTGTAAGATTACAGTTAACACCTTTAAATATTACATAAATGTACAATGAATTTTTAATAAACTTAATGAGTGCATAAATCTCTTATAAAATTCAATCAGGCAATCATACATTTCACAATTTTATATTATGTCAAGAATTCAGAAGTGCATAGCCTACACTACAAAGAAATAATATACAATTAAATTATGCTTATTTTAAATGTATTGAGCAGGCTAGGTATAACAAAATATATTGGCTTTTAATAATATTTCAGTGCGCAAACCGATGATAACATGAAAAACAGAGCGCACACAGTGTGTATGCGCATCGCGGGTGCAGAATGATGTGCTCAAAGCAACATGGTGACTCTGTGTGTGCAGCGCTGCGCTGCATAAGTGCGCATTTAAAAGTTCACGTCACAAAGCGAAGAAATGTCGAGCGCACAAAATAATCGTAGTGCGATTTGTTCCTTTGTTTCAGTTTTATATTCCAGTTATTGTGCGTTTGATGCCGATTCATAGTCCTTAGTGATGTGTGTGTGATGATCTAGCAAGCACACGGTAGTGAGTCGTTTAAAAACAACAACAAACTCCAACAAAATAAAGTAATTTTATGCAAATCTACAGCCTTTTATCTACAGATCATGCATTATAATGTGAATATATCATATTGGAGAGAGTTTTACCGTGCATCCAAGAGGCGCGCGCGCTGTTTGAATATGAATGGAGAATGATTGACAGCCGCAGAGGAGGGAAAACGAGTTTCCGTATACTTTAATGATGTAAATAGACTTCTTCTGTCCCTCACATTAAGCTATGGAATGACTTCAGATGACTTTGTCACCCAAACTGACGTGAAAAAAGCGAGAGGCGCCGAAAAGCGCGCTGTTTGCATCCCTGCTTGTCAAAACGTGGCAAAGACACATCAAAAAGCTGCTGTAACAGTATACTGTAACCATTGGCACTTAAAAAGCACGTCACGACACATAATGCCCCGTCTTCTTTTACTAAAGAATATGTTTGACTTATTTATGAAATGCATAACTGATGCTACTAAAATTTATTCTGGCCATCGGGGTGACCAGTGGGGTGGCCAGGAGTCGGCCAGGGGTGGCCACGGCCACCGCCACCCCCTGGTGGCGCCATTGAAGGATGGGCGGGACTTACCAGCTCTATTATGGAGCTAGAAATGTGTCTTTATTACATGCGAGAAAATAAATGATCTGAGAGAGAAAAAAAAGTTTGAGAGAAAAAGGTATCACACTGATAGCAAAAAAGCATTTCATGAGAGAAAAAAGAATATTTGAGAGAAAAAGTTTTCATACCAATAGCAAAAAATTATATTTGAGACTAAAAAAAGTTTTGAGAGAAAGTATTTTCTCATAGAACATAAAAAAATATACATTTGAAATTTTTTTAATTATTTCTGAGAAAAAAATCTCTCAAAATACTTTGAAAAAAATCTCAAATATATATTTTTTGCTATCAGTGTGAAAACATTTTCTCTAAAAAAAAAGTGTTTCTCTCAAAACGCTTTTCTTTGCTCTCGATGCAATTTTTTGCTCTCGTGTCAGGATTTTGCTTTAGCTGTGAAAATTGTGTTATGGGCGGGGCCACGTTCCTATTGGCCAGTCGGGTGAGCATCGTCTTATCTTGGGAGTCGAACTGAATCATTACACCAATAACACCATTGTTCGCGTTCGGTTCACCTAGATAGATGCCGTCTCTGCCTTAGTTTAGCACGGACACTCCAATGTTTGGGTAAAATGATGACACACACACAACTGGATGGGTAGCTGGCTGAGCAAGTTCAGCATCACTGAAGATTAAACATTAAAAAATAGCACTCATGCAAGTTTACCTACCATGATGGCTAATTAATAATTAGTTTTACTAGCGGTTAGCAAGCTAATAATATAATACACATTCATTCATGAATATGAGTGCTATTTTTAATGTTTAATCTTCAGTGATGCTGAACTTGCTCCGCCAGCTAACATCCAGTTGTGTGTGTCATCATCTTACCCCAACATTGGAGTGTCCGTGCTCAACTTAGAGCTTAGATCGGGCCCAAAAAATCAAGCCCGACCCTACCCGAGCCCGTGCACGTTGTGTCCGAGCCCGATTTAAACCCGACCATTTTAATACGTGGGTCGTTATAACTGACGTTCTCAACTACTTTCTATGTTACTTTCTCCTCCTCCTCTGTTCTGCACGTCCAAATACTTTCAAGTTAGCCTACGTGTCGCCATCATACTCATCAGCATAAATGCTCCTGATAAATTATGTGTTATTAAAGCATTAACACACAAACCACTGTTATAACATAAAATCAAGCAGGCTACTGCGTGCATGGTGTGGCATGACTGAATGCGCGCAAAGTGCGCTCCCTTAAAAATTCCTAAAGCTGACATCAGTTCATCGCGATCTCACACATCTTCTGTTATTATCAATGAAGCTTTCATAATATACACTTTGTTTGTTATAATTAGAGGATTTGCCAGCATACAGAATTCAGCTCTGAACAAAAAGTCCGTTTTGAGCGGTGAGGGGAGTCTATCTTGAATGCTTGTGATTGGCCTTTATTGCGTTCAAGAAATCAACACATATGTCTGTGATTGGCTACATCGCTCAACGCTGCAAACATGTTATAAAACAAAACTCTGGCTTGTAAATCATTTGTATTTTGTTTTAGTTGTTCTTGTTGCTTTTCTGCAACAGATGAATAAAAATGTATTCGTTTTTATGTTTTATTCATAGATATTTCTAGTTTGCGGGAGTCCCACGAATCGTTTTATTCTCCCGGAACCCACACACACGGTGCATTACAGCCCGCGCCCGCGCTCGCACTCGGCCATCAAATCTAGTCCCGCGCCGCACTCTTTTGCGTTGGGAGTGCACGTCTCTAGATCAAAGGCCCGGCCCGAGGATAGTGACGGGAAATATCGGCCCGACCTCGGGCTCGGGCAGAGAATCTAAACTCTGGCAGAGGCGGCATCTATCTAGGTGAACCGAACGCGAACAATGGTATGATTCAGTTCGACTCCCAAGATAAGACGATGCTCACCCGACTGGCCAATAGGAACGTGGCCCCGCCCATGACACAATTTTCACAGCTAAAGCAAAATCCTGACACGAGAGCAAA